TGCGACAATATATAGGTGGAGGAAATACGAAAGGAATTAGGGGTGGCAGTCGGTCGGTTTCGGTTTAACCGAAAACCAATTTCTCGGTTATCGCCTAAACCGAGCAATCACCTTTTATTATCGACCACCGACCGCGAGGATCACCACGGCTAGCCGACCACCGACCGGTCAGTTATCGGTTTTGGTTCGGTTAGCCGCATACCCAAAAATAAATACTCCCTTCTCTAAAAAAAAATTAAAAAAAACAAACAAACAAAAATTCTCTACCACTAAATCCTTATCTTCTTCTTCCTTCCTCTCCACCCACCAGAGAACAGACCACTTCTTCCTTCTCTCTCCTTCCTCCATTTCAAACCCACAACAGAACACCCACCACTCCTTCCTTCTCCCACCTTCCTTCCATTTCAGATCTGGAAACACAGAGTAGAAGCAGAGGCGCGGCGGCGGCGAGTGGAGGCGAAGGTTGAGCTGCTGCTGCCTGCTGGAGTGCTGGTGGAGGCGTCGGGGCGACGTCGACGATGGTGGAGGCGACGGTCGTGAGGGAGAAGGAGGGCGTCGGTGGTCGTGAGGGAGAAGGAGGGCGGCGGTCGTGAGGGAGAAGGGAAGGGGTCGTGAGGGAGAAGGAGGGTTGTGCGAGAAGGGATGGATTTGGGAATTGGGAGGAGAAGGCAGCGGATTAGGGTTAGTGGTGGGGGACTAAGTTGTGCAGCCCTTTTTGGGGAAAGGGGAGGGGTCAGTTAGCCGGTTTCCGACTCCGGTTAGTCGGCCAGCCGAACCCCTTCCCTTCCCCACTGCCAACCGACCGATGCATTCAGAATCGGTTTTTTGGTTAGCCGAAAACCGGTCGGTTCGGTTGAAACCGTCCGGTTAACTGCTAACCGAAAACCGTTCTGCCACCCCCTAAAAGGAATACATGGTATACACAAGAGTAGCAGACCCATAGCTTTCATCACTATCTCTTTTGCCAATTGCCACCAATGATCCAGTTTTAGACCGCCAACTTTGAGTCTAAGATGCCAATGCAACATCAAGGTACGAAAATGTGATAGGTTTTGAACGTTTAAAAACTAAAAATACTTTTTTTTTATGGAAATCTGCGACTTTCTTATTAACCAATATAAGCGGGTACAATGTCCAGCGTTAACTGGTTAACTAAAAACGGAGGCGGCCTATCGAACCAAACAATCTGCTCGTTCCATCTTGTCTCGGCTTGTGCCATTCGGTAGGCAGCAGCATTACCATCGCGGCGGACATGCTGCCAGGAGCTCGATCCCAATTCTTCAAGTAGCCCGAATGCTTCTGCACCGAACCCCTGTCTCCGACTCGATCCACTCCGCTTCATGCAGTTTTGTAACCAGGCCAAGGCTGTCTGTCTCCAAAATAGGGTTCATAAGGTGATGTTGCTTCGCAAGCTGTACTCCAAACTCTGCTGCAATGGTTTTCGCCTCTTCCACAGACCAGCGACCAGGAACTCGTTTAGAAGCGGCCATGAGGAACTGCCCATTTGGACCTCGTGCCACCATACCCAAACCGATCCCTTCATTGAGGAAAGTTGCTGCATCCGTGTTAATTTTTATACGTCCCGCGCCCGGCGGTTGCCATCCCGATTGCACTTCCTCCTCCGATAAAGCCAGCGCTCGATTATGATGGGAATGGTAGTCATCGAGAAAGATCTTTGCCCTGGGAATGATGTCAAGTTCATCCAACTTTGGACCATTAAAAAGCTGGGCATTTCGTTCACGCCATAGGAATCAGAGCACTACACACCACATTTCGTACTTTTCTTCATTTTCAGCATCCATGACGTTCTTCACCCATTGAAAGCATTCATCTGAGGTTCTGCAGGCGAAACACCTCATCAAATCAGATTGTCTCCACAGGCGGGAACTCCAGCCACACTCGGCAAACAAATGAACTTGCGTCTCCGTCAAGCCACAGAACGGACAAGATTCACTCCATTTATTGCTCTTTGTACTGATTTTGTTACCAGTGGGGAGGATGCCACTCATAAACCTCCATATGAAATGCTTTACTTTAGGAGGGACCTTCATTGCCCACATATTCTTCCATGTCGCCAGTTCTCCAACCGGATCAACTTGATGATTAGCCATAAATTGCTGTAACCACCTCTTATAGCCATCTTTGACTGAGTATTCCCCGGATTCGCTTTCCGCCCATATTTGCTTGTCCCTTTCTTCCCTCCCACGCAGGGGAATTTGGAGTACCCTCTAGCCAAGTTCAACTGGCATGCACTCGGCAATCATCTCCCAGTCCCACTGATCATTCCAACGCAGCCCACAACACAAGAATTCCTGAGAGCTCAACAGACTTCTCCAAACAAAGCTCGGACGCGGGCCGATGTTTGCCTCCAAAACCGTGGTGTGCTTGTGATACTTGGCTCTCAGTATTCGAGCAATCAAGGAGGCTGGGCGCTTGTGAAGCCTCCAGAGTTGCTTAGCCAACATTGCAGTATTGAAGCCTTCAAGGTCCCTGAAGCCTAGTCCACCTTCCTCCTTCGGAAGAAGCATCCCTTCCCTCTTCAGCCAATGAACCCGTCGCTGGGATCCCTTCTGTCCCCAATAGAAGTTCGTAATGAGACTATGAACTTCGTTGATGATGGAGACTGGGACGCGAAAGACAGACATGGCGTAGGTAAGTTGCGCTTGAGCCACTGATTTTATAAGAGTCTCCCTCCCTGCCACCGATAACGTCTTTTCTTTCCACCCTTTTAACTTCTTCCGGTTTCTCTCCACTAAGCCAGAGAAAATCTCCTTTTTCGATCGACCTACAACTGTCGGTAAGCCCAAATACTTATCATGCTTGTCAACCAGCTTCATTTGGAGAGTACCGCTAACCATTAACCGCTGATGGGTGGTGACTTTCTCACTAAAAGAGACTGCCGACTTCTGAAAGTTCACAAGCTGACCAGACTCCTTCTCATACAACTGCAAGATGCGTTTGAGGGCCCCACTCTCCTGCTCAGTAGCTCTTCCAAAAAACACGCAGTAATCGGCGAAGAAAAGGTGTGAGATCGTCGGAGCACCCCTAGCAGGTTGAATTCCGTGCAGTCGTTTATCCCGGACAGCTTCCTTCGTGATCGCTGAGAGCCCCTCTGCACAGAAAAGGAAAAGGTAGGGGGACAAAGGGTCACCCTGACGCAAACCTCGGCTTGGCAGAAAGGTCTCAGATTGATGGTCATTCACTAGGACAGAGTATGAGACTGTACGAACGCACTTCATGATCAAAGTAGTCCAGCGCTGATCAAAGTCCATACGGTCCATCACTCCCTCCAAGAAGTGCCACTCCACCCTGTCATATGCTTTTGCCATATCTATTTTCGCAGCAAACATTCCCGGACCAGCCCTTGATTTGATCTTCATCGTATGGAAGCATTCAAAGGCCGCCATTATATTGTCAGTGATGAACCTTCCTGGGACAAAGGCGCTCTGCTCCTGCGAAATCACAAGATCCAAAACAGCTTTTAATATGCTAGCGAGTACTTTGGCCACTAGTTTATACAAGACATTGCATAAACTAATGGGACGAAAGTCTTGAGGGGAGGTCGGTTCTTTAATCTTCGGAATCAAGGCGATGAGGGTGTGATTTAGAGATGGCGGCATCGGTCCCCCCTCGAGAATATGCAACACTGCATTCGTCACGTCTTCACCCACAACTGTCCAATGTTTTTTGAAGAAGAGCACAGAGAAACCGTCCGCCCCTGGTGCCATCCTCGAACCCATCTGCTTCAGTGCCCGCTGTACCTCCTCTCTGTCAAAAGGCCTCAGCAACTCCATGTTCTGTTCCCCAGTTATTGATCTCTTAATGGCATCAAGAACAGGAGTCTCATTTGGCGGGGGTGACGCTGTGAACAAACTAGAAAAATAGTTAGTCAAACAACCAAAGACATTCTCTTGTGTCGTGTGCCACAATCCCGAGTTGTCCCTAATCTTGCGAATCATATTTCTTTTGCATCGGGCCGATGCCTTCTTATGGAAAAAGGCCGTATTTTTGTCTCCGCCTCGTACCCAGTCCGCCCTCGATCGTTGACTCCAGTATAGCTCTTCATTCGCTTCGAGATCTGCAAGCTCTTGCTCGAGTTGTCTACGCTGGGTCTCCCCCATCGGCGTTCGGGGCTGTCTATCGATCGCTGCCAGCGCCTTCCTTATCCTTGAGCGATGTTTGCCAAACCGGGGGAAGGTTTTGCTGCTCCAGGTTTCGAGCTTAGACCTGCAAAATAGAAGTTTTGTTAGGGTATCCGCTCCTGTGGACTCGTTCCAGGATTCCTCCACTACCTTTGGGCAACCTGTATGATTTGCCCAGTGGGGTTCGTACTTAAACGACCAGCCCCATTTGGGCTCAACATCCGCTGCCCCCCTCGTATCATCAGACGCAATGAACCTGATCCAACCGCTCCTCTATTAATGCTCGACCAGCTCTTCTGTTCTCCCAGGTGAAGGGGTACCCCTGGAATCCAAGATCCGACAGCCCCACCTCGGTCAGGTACTCATCGAAGTCAATCATCTGAGCATCCACAGTCTCGCGGCCACCTTTCTTCTCCTCCAGGTAGTGGACTTGATTAAGGTCCCCTCCGCATAGCCAAGGGCCATTCCATTGAGCCGCCAGTCTTCGCAACAGCTCCCAGGTGTTCCACTTATCACTATCCTCCGGCCAACCGTAGACTCCGGAGAAACGCCACTGGCCTCCTTTATCCTCAACAACTTTGGCATCCACGTGGTGAAGGGAAATGGACATGACTTGGATATTAATCCCTTCCCTCCACCATAGGCTCAACCCACCAGCACGGCCACCTCTAGATTGATCCGTCGACCAACTTTCCCCCTCCTCAAATCCAAGCTCCAGTCGTGTTACCTTATTTTCCTCCACTGTTTGTTTCGTCTCTATCAGCAGAACAACTTGCGGGGAGTAGTATCGCAATAGCGATTTCAAAGCTCTAACTTGCCGCTTGCTCCCCAACCCGCGGCATTTGTAGCTGAAAATTCTCATTTATTACGAGAAGGGGATCGGTTCCCCGCACCTTCAGATTGAGTTTGTTTTGGTTTAGCTTCTACACCCCTAGGGCCATCTCCCACGGGTTTTGTACTTGCTGTTTTCAGTTTGCTAGAATTGGTCCCCTCCTTTGCATGGGGTGCATGGCGGGTCATTTCCGCCGCGAGAGCTCTTTTGGATTCATTGCTTGGGCTACCATCCTTATTCCCTCTCTTTTCCTTCGCAACACTATCTTTTTCCGTGGGGGGGTTCAAAGGGGAACTTTTTGTTACCCCCTGCCCTCCCGAGCTCGGTGTGCCTCCTTTACTGGTTACCGACGTCGATCCACTCGTCTCCTTTCCTTTCGTCTTTGCACTATCATTCTTCTGGCCCGCACTCTCTTCCCTCATCGAGTTCTTTTCATTTTCACTTATCGGCGTCCCCTCCTCTTCATGCAGTGCCGCAAAACTATTTGTTCGATCATCCTCACAGTTGATAGGTCCCATCCTCTTGGTATTTCCTATTCTTTTTGCAGCCCATGTCGACTTCTTTTTAACTGACATCCACTCCCCATAGATTCTACCCTCAGTTTGGGATGCTATTGGCTCTTCTCGGGCATCTGCCGATGGTTCTTCCGATTGTTCCTCACCCATATGTTTGCAACTGCACGTATTCGTCATCTGGCCATACATACCGCACTCCCCACAGATGTTATCCAATCCTTCGTACTGAATAATATATGTTACGCCCTCCACTTTATACATGGACAGGAGCGGTTTTGTTAAATCCACTTCGACGCTAGCTCGAGCATAATTCCCCCGTGCCCCCATCTCCGTGGCTCGGTCAACCCGGATCGGCTTTCCTATGAGCTCCGCAATCATGGTTACTGCTTCCGCATTAAAAAATTCAATGGGAAGGTCTGGGAGCTGAACCCAGACTATCGTAGTCGTCACTTTCGCCTTCCACGGATTAAACCCTTTAAACCAGCGATGGACAGTAAGATATGTGTCCCCAAGTAGCCAGGGTCCTTTCTCAGAGGCTAGCTCAAAGTCTTTCTGGCTGCGAAACCGCACTAGGTAGCACCCATTCTTCATATCCGAGATCTGAATGTCGCCATGGCGGGCCCACAGAAAATTCAGTCGCTTTGCCAACGGTAAGTACGCAACCTTCTTTCCAAGTCCCTGCACTATCAGAGATTATCGCCATTCCCGTCTCCACTTAATTTTCTGAGCCGCAGTGAATAGGACCGATGGACATCTCGGATCATAATTCTCCTCCTCAAATTCCTCATCCTCCTCCCTCTCTCTTTGGAATACGTCCTCTGAGTCGGACTCGGCGACGTACCATCCATCGTCCTTGAGAACTTCGCTAAACAGCCTCTGGGTTCCTTCTCGCCATGCTCCCGTTGATCCTCCCGACTTCACCTCAGCATGGCCACGGTTAGCTTGATATTCAGCGTCCATCTCCTCCATGGTCTCCTCATTAGGTTTCGGGTCCTCCTGAGAGATCTCCATCGCTCTGACCTTCTTCTTAGGTTGTGTCGTCTCTTTCACACTCTTTCCATCAGGCGAGGAAGAGCCTAGCGCCGCCCGCCTTGCCCCGCTGATGTCAGGGGTTTTCTTCGTCGGCGAGGAGGTTCCTGTCGACGGAGGCGCCGCCATCGTGACGCGGAGCGCTCTTCTTAGGGTTATCACAAGCAGAGGTTTTCCGGAAAAATCGGAACCGCTCTTCTGTTATTACCTTGGTTAGTGGGAAAATAAATGCCGCGACTAAAAGGGTGGAAATCAAATAAAATGAACAAAGAAAAAGTAAAAAGTAGTAGTGGAAACGTCAAGCAGCCGAAAAGTCGGGCACCGGTTTGTTGTATTTATACTGTAGCAGGCCGATCTCATTCCCCTTTTCCCTGTTCTTGCAACCGAAACTTGGAACTTGTCTTGCGTGCCGGAAAGGTTGGTCCCTTCCGGTCAGTTCAGTTTTGGATTATCCTCTGTTTCTCTTCGCGCAGCGGTACCAAAAGGGTTCATTGTTCGTTTATACATGTACGCAGGAGCTCCTGCCTGATAGAAATGGCGGCGGGTGCAGATAAGCAGCCGGCGACGAAGAAGATGCTGGAGACTAAGAAGTTCACATGGAAGATTGAGAATTTCTCGAAGCTGAAAGAAAACAAGCTCTATTCCGATCCATTCGTAGCTGGTGGCCACAAATGGTAACTTGATTGATCTATACATGCCTTAGCTATTGCCCTTTCTTAGCTTTATAGTTTCTCTGTTAAACTTTCCTTCCTCATTCCTACTCAATTAGTTTTTGTTCTGCTTGTTTCATCTGTCTGTTCAATACAAATCACTCATCCCTTAACCAGACAGAGAAGATGCAGTGAATAATGTGGGCTCAGTCGAATCTTTATCGGGCTAGTATTGAACATATACGCGTGCTTATCGGGCGGATATGGATTTTTCAATTAACTTTGTTGCTGCGCGGTTCTCATTGATTTCGATCGGCTTTGGTGTGTGCAGGAGGATTCTTGTTTTTCCTAAGGGAAATAGATCCTCGGGTTGTCTTTCCGTATATATGGATCTTGCCAATTGTGAAACCTACCCGCAAGGTTGGAGTGTGGCAGCTGACTTCAGCTTTACGCTTGTCGACCAAGTCAATGGCACCTCATCTCTGCAAAAGAGTACGTACGCATACAACTGCCTGCCCTGGCCCCTGTTATCGGTTTTGCATTTCTCATTTCACTATTAAATTAATCGAACCAACCTCCGCCGCAGTGACCAGCCACAGTTTTCACGCAAAGGAGCAGGACTGGGGTTTCACCACTTTTATTCCAATCAAAGACCTTCATGATGTTAGTAAAGGATTCCTTGACAACGATACGCTAATCATGGAAGCTGAACTTTCCACCGTTAAGTCTGCTATCTTCACCGAATTTCGAACTGAATCTAATTTCCTTGTACAGCATGTTAATGAATCATGTCTCACAAGCTAGCTTGCAGGAACCAAAAGCCATCCAAGAATCACTCACCCTGGAGCCACTTTCAGGACAGAATCATCAGGTGATGACATCCATTAGCACAGGAACCACAAACCACATATTTATCATTTCCTTCATGTTGCGTTTTCAGGTTCAGACTGATAATCCTGCCAACGCTAATGCCACAGCCAGCAACCCCATTTCTCCATCTAGTGTGCAATCCACTTCCAGAAAACTGATAGAACAACTCTCAGCAATGTCTAGCAGTGGTGGCTCTATCTCTAGTCCGAATCCGGACCATGGTACTTCTAGTCTTCTGATGCAGCAGCAAAGGGAGAAAATGGTGGGGTTCCTTGCTATGTCACTTGAGGCCATCTCGCAAACAAAATCACTCGATGAAGTCGAGAACACTGCCCTCCAGCTTGCTGAACATGCAACCGATCCGGTGGAGAAGACGGTCCTAAAAGACTTGGTCTCGCGCCTTGCTGAGTTCAAGGAGGTCATCCCCAGCTCTCTCTCCACCATTGAAACTAGCCGCGGGGTGGAATCATCCGTAGATCAAGTGAAAAAGGACATGGAGGCCAGGCTGCTTCACAGGAAGAGACAACTGAGTTCTCTCGAGATAGAGGTTTCGAGGCTGGGTGAAGAAGACATGAAGCTGGAGGCAGAGATTCAGCAGCTATCTGCTCGCAAGGCTGTGATTGTTGATCAGAGGACACTACAGGAAAAAGGTCATTTAATCACGGGAAATCCTGTGTTTGAAAGTGTGTTTCCCGTGTTTGATAGTATTAGGCACGGTAAAATTACCGTAATATATACCTCCGTGTCTAATTGTAAAGGTCACGGTATATTTGTACTGTGACTAGTTATATCTAGTCACGGTATCATTTCCCGTAATAATTTGTACCTATTAATCACGGTGAGCCCTGTGACTATTATCAAATCTTGCCACACAAAATCGAATTTCTTTTTGTTTAGAGATGGGATGTATGCCTTTTAACACTGTATCTACCGTGACAAAATAGTTTCCTGTGACTAGATGTCAATCATCAGTCACGGTATTTGGTTGATTCTCCCGTACCTAGATACTGAAATTTGGTCACGGTATTTTACATTAATCATGGTAACTCCCATGATACATAACCACTAAAGAATTTCCCTAATTAATTACACCTAGTTTATTTCTTGTCATTTCTCCATGTTGGAACTTGACGTTTTGAGAGTCTAACTAATGAAATGACAATAAAGAACTTGTCAAATGATGTACCTTAATAGCCTCAATCAAAAGTAATTACAAATCAGGTACCTTAATATCCAAAACAAAAGTCAAAAGGTCATTACAAATTACGTCCTTTCAAACTTTTACAGGAATTCGTTTACCCGGAAAAAGTAAACCCATCACTAACCAAGTATTAATCTTTGTACACAACTATATATCTTCTCGACTCATCCACTTTCAAATTCTTCTTCCTCTTTGTTCAATGTCATGTCAATTGCCCTTACAAGCTACTTCATCTTCTCTGCCAAAAATCAAACACATAATCATCTATTAACAGGTGCAATACAAAAGCATAGATAGAACGATAAGGAGCGAGATCAGGGTAAAGAGGTTACTCATCATGGGAGCATGGGAGAGTCACTGATCATGGTAGAAGGTTTTTTACCATGGAAATAGAGGGACATTATCAAAGAAGCACAAATCAATTGGAACCAACCAATCAAAGAAGCACAAAAGCTAGAGAAGAAAGGAGAACGTACTTTGAGGAAGTTCCACACTATGCAACCTAGTAGTGTGCTTTGTCTTTGAAAGATTACTTTATTTTTCTACATGAAACAAGTCATTTGCTATTCAGTTTCCCATAAGCTGCTTTTGTAAGAACTTGCAGCACACGACAAAAAGAAATTTTTAGCACGAATACATTGTTACATGCTATAAAGAACATAATTGAATAACTCATTAACAAAGAGAGGCTTAATTGCAAAGTAAGGCTCAAGGATAAAGCACCAGAAAACAAAATCAAACACATGGAACATATCCTTGAACTTCTAGAAAAAAACTTAAGCTCAAAAGGCTTACTAATTCCAAATCACCAATTCAAGCAATCCAGTTTGTATATTACAATTCTACTAGCATCAAACACACAGCGGGATCTTCCCCAACTGGAGGTTTGGCCCTACCAGCAGGATAATAACTATAGCTAGCTTATGGAGGGATTGGTGCCTTTGGTGCTGAATTTGGAGAATTAAAGAGCAAAAATATGAAGAACTGCGACTGAAGCAGTAATGAACATGATAACCCAGAAAATGCAGAATTTGTACCTTGAATTCCTTCCCTTCGCAGAATAAGTCACTTTGACTTGTTACTTTTGGCTTTGTTTGGAACTTCAAAAAGGCATCATGGAGAACTGCAAAAGAAGTCATTGGCACAGAGTAGCAATCAGTACAAAGCATAAATGACACAAGAACAAAAACAACATGGCAGTGCCAGTTAATGAAATCTGATAAATGATGTATGCTCTCTCGTTGCTTCTGCTTCAACTTCTTACCATCCTCTTTCTCAATATAAGTCTGCACAAATTGAAGAAAGCAGTATATTGGGAGAAATAAGGTTGAAAGGGCAAGTCTTAAGCAACCAATCTGCACTAACAACAAACTTTTAACACAGGATAGAACACAAATACTACTAATTTCATTTTGGATGAATATGAGGTAGGAATCAGATTTTCACATATACACTAAGGGAACTTGCTAGGGGCAAAACTAAAAGCCCGCAATATGTGTTAACAACAAACTTTCAAGACACACTTAAGAGCTTGAGGCATGCAGACAAAATATAATCAGAACTGAGAAGGAACATATTTAACTAGTCCTTGATGATAAACAACAAATCCCAAGTAAACTCTATGCACCAATCCTCTTTAGTACATCATCAACTATGCAAACCCAACAACTTAAACCCAATGTCTCCTGTTGTTCCTCCTCCGCATAGATATCTAGAACTTCCTTCCCTTCAACCTAGTATAGGGTTTAGAGTGGTAGTGTGGCATACTAGGAGCTGGGAAAAGTGCTTCACTATCATTTTTACGACCCCTGAGAACTACTCTAAATTTTAACCATCAATCTATAAACACATCCAAAACAGAGATCCCTAACTAACCATTCGTTCAATGCAACAAGCAACACCAATGAATTTCGGGAGGAAGCTAATCAAACCATAAAAGGAAGGGAGAAAGATGGGAGCATCACACCGTGTTCTGGTGCGGAAGCATCATACCGTGTTCTGGGCTCAATGTAGGCAGATCAAATGGCAAGGCATTCACCACCAGCCTTCTAGATTCTAGCCTATGCAGAATCGATAAAACTCAAACCAGTTAGCGGTAATGAACTCATCACATACCCAACACTTAAAAGACACCTGAAACCCTAACTCACCAAAACAATGAAAACAGAACATAAACATAGAAGAAAGAGACATCAAAACCACCATGTCGTCACTGATTGAAGAATAATATCAATGGGATGGGAAAACCCACCCTATTAACACCTAGAGCTGGCCGCACTCGGCTATGTAGACGGGCTTGAAAGTCCTCCCAGATCCATATCTGACCTTCCGGATCGCCTTTGACTATGCCTAAGGACTTCATGACCTACTTGAGTACCACGTGCTTGTCATCCAGCCACTCGATTTAGGCAGTGCAGATGAAGAACTCAGATCTGTTTTCCCTAGCCCAACATTGGTCATGGAAAGAATTTGGGGCCGTTCTGCTTCTACTTCTTGACAAAGTTCTCACCAGAAAACATGGACCCTTAAATCGACTCTCCTCCAGTGTCATTCCCGGTTGATTGCTTGGAGTAGAGCGGCTAACCCGATTTTCCAATTCCCTTCTCTGACGTGTAGTCTGATGAACGAATATCAAAGATTGGCAGGGGAAGAGTGGATGAAGAGAAGAGGGAAAATGAACGAGAACCCAGGGTTTTGATTATGAATAAATTGGTGGATTTTGGGCGGCTAAGGTAGAGTTTCAGGGGGTCTAAGAAGGGTTTGACTTCACCCTCAATTCCTCTAGAGAAGAAGAACAAATAGAGAGAGAGAGAGTATGGGTATAAGAGGGGAAAGAAATGAGTGTTTCAATTTTCGGGGAACAAGTAACAAGAATTGGGAGGGCCAATTGGCGGGCAAATTTTGCTGTTGGGAAATTTGTGGAGCCAAATTTTGAAGTGAAATTGAATTTTTGGAGCCTAAAGCAAATTTGGTTTCAAAGTAACTTTAGCGTTAAGGGAAATTTTGGAGCCAAAACAAATTTTGGAGTCAAAATAAATTATCTTTACAAATTAAAGCAAATATTATAAAAAAATTGGAAATTGAAACATTGTTCACGGGAATCAACGGTGACTAACTATTAATCATGGGAAATGGAAACTAAAAAACGAAAAAATTAGTTCCCGTGACTAGAATTGTATAACTAATTACGGTAACTTTTCCTGTGACTGTTAGTGTACTTCTTAATACGGGAAAAAATACCATGAATAAGATCCTGTGACTAGAAACTAGTTCTCTTGTAGTGGGAGGTCGACCGTGGCCGAACTGGACAAGGCCAATCAAGAGGCTGCCAAGGAGTTGGAAGAGTTGATGAAGCAATGTGATGAGAGCAGGCAAGCGGTGGAAAATAGGATGAGAGCCAAGGAGAGACTGGCTCAGTCCAATACAAGTTGGAAGCTTTTCAAAGACAACTTGGGATGGTAGACTTACTTAGTTGTACGTACGCAGTAGTTAGTCTCTTACCCTTATTAGAACGGTTGCTTTCGGTTCATATGATCATTATTATGGTGTTAGGGCTGGTGGGTGATACTTTTGGTCTTTTGAGATGTAGACTTAGCTACAATGCTACATCCGGTCTTTGGTTCGGTGCTTATGATCCATTTTGGGTTTAAGTTTAGCAAGAATGACCAATTAATTTCCACAATATGGGTACAGGGCCTAATTTGGTTATTCTGATCATTTTGGGTTTAAGCATTATGATGTGCTCATTAAGAAGAATTCAAGGTGGAAGTTGGTTACCCGACCAAGATTCAATCCCACTCACATCTCCCCTCTATCTTCACTGTCCGAGAATTCAGGCCAATTAGTTGTAAGTGATCTGACAAAAAATTTGAATTATAGCAAATCGGTTAGTTATATGATTAAATCCCTAACCATAACAAACAAGATGGTACTCATCGACAGGTCGTTACGATTATGAAAAAGCAGCACCTAAGATTTGTGATGTTGTTTGGGGATGTTGTGATCACTTGCGATGCATAATGAAGTAAATATCTTTCTATGGACGAATGATAAATGAAATATCTTCTCATGGAAGAAAAATCTCTAGAAATGAGTGAATAGTTTGCACAGTACATAACATTTAATTAGTTTTCACCCAAAACAAAAAAGTATGTAAACCTTAGTTACTGGTGAAGCAAGCGATTAGCTTTGTCATCTAATTTGGTTCTACTAGCTTCAATTGTCGAAGCATAAGCTAGCTAGGCAACCAAATACTCTTAGCTGATTGAGAGTAGGGGGTTTTTTGTGGAGTTTTGCGTAACGAGTGAGATGATTGAGAAGGGGAGTAGGGCTCCTATTAATCAAATGAACAACATGTGTTGCTAAGGTTTGTGTTGAGATCACTACGAAGACTAATATGATTAACAAACTAAGCATCACTCCTGATGGGCGTCCTGAGATGTTGGTGGATGTGGACTTCTGTCATGTGCCTAGGAAATATGAGAATTGTGGTGTGTTTGGGCATGACTCTGCTAATCCAGGAGGGGAGGCGAAACGTGTTTGGGTAGTTAAGCAGCCAAAATTGCAGGAAGTGTCGATAGTTGGTTCTAAGGGCAAGGAGAAAGTGGATGAGGTTGCTGTTGTGCAAGCTGAAGTAAGTGTTGAAGATAAGGCTGCTTGCTCATAGGTTCCTGAATCCAAAGCTAGTGGCGAGTCTGTTGTATCTGCTGTTGTGGAAAGCAGTATAAGTAACCCCCCTGGGCTTGAGGATGATGGTTTCAAGTTGGTTACTGTGAGAAACACGGAGCAGGAGGCCGAGTCGGCCTATTAGGGGGGCTATTATTGTCATTTGGGTATTATTAGGGGAGAGAACTATTTAAGTTACATTCTTTGTTATTTCGATTAATCAAGCATAATATCAGAATTATCAAACCCTAATCCCTCTTCTCTTCTTCAATTCCCATCTCAATTCCCAATTCTCAACCCTAATTCTTCTATTCTCATCCCCAATTTCTGTTCGATCATCCGTGTTTCTCACAATTGGTATAAGAGCCCCGTCGATATGATTTCTACAGGACTCTCGGATAGGGACCAAGGTGTGTCGATCGAAGCTCGCCTGCTGGAGGTCATCGGCCGGCTGGAGCGAGTGGCCGCCGACCTGCGGCGAGGGAGCGGCGGGACGGAGGGCCTGGCCGCGAGCTCCGCTGCCCTAGCAGTAACGGCAGCAGCAACGCGTCTGGAGGAGCAGACCGCGACGGAGAGTAGGGGTGTTCAAATGGTTACCATGGTAATAACGAAACCAAATAAGTTTAAAATCTATTAACCATGGAATACAATATCATTAACCAAACCGTCCAAACTAATACAACAACGAAATTAACCAAACTAAAGTTTATTCGGTTTGGTTAATTGGTTAACCAAAATAACCAATATAACACCACATTATCATTAAGTGAGAAAAATTTCCAGTTAGTGCATCAATTTGTAATTTATATAATGAACAACACATAACATTCCACATTATTATAGTTAACCCTTAACGTAAATACATATAACAAATACAATTATCTTACATTTGACTCTTGAGTGGTTATGCAAAGTATTAAGTATGTGTATATAATATATATTAGATATATGACAAATTACTTAACTGGTTAATTTGGTTTGATTGGTTAAGAGTGCCTGAAACCAAACCAGACCACCTAAACCAAACAAGCTAAATTTTTTAACCAAACCAAACCAATTATCGAAAATAACCAAACCAAATTAGCCAAATACTACTGGTTAAAATGGTTACCATGGTAACCAAACCGTTTGAACCCCTAGAGGAGGAGAGTTGCGATCCCTCTTAGACCACACGTAGTTCCACAACTACTCATGAATAGTGGTAAAGCCAAGACTTATAGCGAGGAAGGGCTGGAAGAAAAAATTGCAACTCATCACACAATTGAATCCAAAACATGGAGGAGGGGGCTAATAACCCCATCCTATTAATTTCTAAGGTATTGTCAAGATACAAATACGCTTATTATAACCTTAAACTTTTTTTTTTTTTTTTTTTTTTGCAAAAGACTGTAAACCTTTCTAGACTACATGTAACTCTACCACTCTATATCTCCATATGCTCTCAGGATTAGCGGCGCTTGTTGTTGTTGTTGGCTTTGGCACAACTCGTTGTACTTGTTACCGTGAACTACCCATTTATGATTTTAGAATGTGCTTTGAGCTGGAAGAACAGAGGAGAGTCCGGAGACCTGTCTGTCTGAATCCATGTCATCCAAGATTTCGAGTACTAGATTGGGCCACTAAGCCCGTTTTCTCCATGGGCCAAGCCCGCTTCTAAGCTTCCACCCGCCTCCATTGGCAATACCTTGAAGTGACCTGTTTTCCCCATCTAAATGGGGAAGTTGTAAGCATGTTCTTCACGCATTTAGAGTCATCTAATTTGCGTTTTGGCAACTGAGAACTGCTTCCCATCTAAACTATGAATGGGGGAAGCTGTAAGCATATTGTTCACGCATTTAAAGTCATGTAATTTGCAATTTGATCGTTGTACGACACGTGCTTGCACTTACGATACAATGGGTTATCCGCCAAATTGTGAAAGTGGCTAATTTGCAATCCTTTTCAGGCCGGTTTCAGAACATTGGCTAGACGGACCCAAAAATCCAGGTGGCACATTCGCAATCTTTTTCTGGGCAACTAGACCACACATAGGAAAGAGAAGCCACCGGCCATGGTTGTTCGCAGATTGAACCACGCAGCAGAAAAAAAAAAAGAAAAAAAAAAAAACATAGGCAAACAAAACACACAAGAGCAAATCGATGCGATGAAGAACAGAATAATCATAATAATAATGAATCAATCGTTAATAATAATGAGAAACTCTTTCATCTGTCCAATTGAAAATTCACAATTGTTTTGCAATATAAGCAACCAATCGATCCTCCCATCTTTCTCCTTTGATTTTCTACTCTAATAATCTAGATCTGGCTTCCGCCTCGGCCTGCCGTCGTCAGAAGACGGAATACATAACCAGCTGATCGGCGGAATCAACTCCCATGGAAGCCTTGAGGCTGAATCCACCAGCAGATTTCACACCGCTGCTGCTCTGCGCCGCCGCCGCTGCTGCCCCCTGACTAATCCCGCCGGCGTGATCCTGGTGGTACTGGTCGGCGTTGGAGGGAGGGTGGTAGTACATCCGAGCAGTCTGCGGGCAGTGGGAGTAGAACCTCCCGACGATTCTGGCGCCGACGTCGAGCAGCTCGATGTACTTCCCCATCGCCGCCGGTCGATAAAATTGCTCCTTGCGACGGATTGTAACTGCAGAGAAGGTTTTGGGGGGAGAGAGAATCTTTCTCTCTGTCTCTCGCTGGATTTTCGCTTTGTGGTGGCGTGGAATGTGGGGAGAGGAATTAGGAATTGCGCGGCGTGGAGAATGGATAAAAAAAAGGGCTTTTTATATGTATCAGGGGGAGGCTTTGTCTGTGCTTTCTTGGGCGGCCCATTTAAATTGATTTTAGTTTTTTTCCTTTCAACGATATTGCGGTCGTTTTGAGGCGTATGGACGAACTTTCCTTGCCGTTTCCTTCTGTTTGATTTCTAATTTGCCGTTTCTCTGTTCGTTTTTTTTATTATTAATAACTATTTTCCGGAATTTGCAGTTTGCCCCTCCCTCCGACTCTGCTTTTATTCGGATGTGGGCCGTGGGCCTGCGCCCTGCAGGCCGGGGTGGGAGTAAACATAATTTAATCAAGCTATAGTTGACTTAGGGGTCGTTTGGAAGTTGCGATTGTTTTGTTGAGATTGTCATTATGCATGTATTGTTTACAATGCATCATTTTTTTGTTTTTTTAGCAGAAATAATACATGGATTGTTTCTATGATGTGACAGAAACTATCACTCATTTTGAGTGATTGTTAAATCTCAACTTTTAGTTGTGATTGTTGAGATAGTTGAGTTGAGATTGTTTTGTCTCAGCTTTTAGCTGATGCAACATACACAATCACACATACCAAACGTTGTATTCTACAATGCATCAAATTCGACAATACATGTATAATATTATACATGCATTCTCAACAATACATCTATTTAACAATCGCAACTTCCAAACGACCCCTTATTATGTTAAACATATTTCCCTAGTCCCTCCATGTTCTTTTAGTCTAATTGTCTAAGGACAATGGATGCATATAATTAACAATTTATTTGTTTAAAGTAACATTTAAGTTTCAAGTTTACTTCACAGAAAATCTATTTCTAGTGTAATTTACAAATGCATCCTTATATGAAAAGGTAGTTCTCACTTTTCAGTGTCCACATGAAGGATGGAGGTTTTGTGTAGTTTCAAGTACAACATCAGATTTCCAACCTACCATTGGTGTACCACATAACCAGGCATCCTTAATTCGAGTGGCATAACACTTTTGAAGGCTTTCTTATCATTTCAGTCGTTGAAAGTGGACGTTTAATTATTACTAGGCGAGCTTTGCTAAAATATTAACTAGTGTGGCTGTGTGAATTCCACCATCTTTATCTTGGTATTCTTGCTCAAACAAGTATTTGATTCCACTAATTATTCGTGGTCGCGTTATTTATCTGTCTACCTTATTTACACCAGGTCCTTCTTCTTCCAATTGAAAATTACATGGTTAAAGTTTCAGTATAAACACGTTGATCAGTCACTATCTAAAGTTCGAATATTTATTCATAGGTTTCACGATGGGTGACTTTTAGTTTTTACCCGAGGACAAACATAAGGTAAATATGGGAAACCAGTGGCCTTGAAAGCAAATTCGATATTTAATTCAGGGATACACCACGCATATTCCTAGTCATCATGAGCTTTTCTTATTTTATTCCATTGTGGAAATTGTTCAATGAATGCTTAACTTGCGGTCCATGTGGCGAGAATACGGAGAGGATGGAAGGAGTCCGGATCTGGTGACTAAGGGGGGGTCCTTAGTCACTTGACTAAGGCCCCCTCAGCCCTTGGATTAATCTAATGGTTCAGATAAACCCATTAATTAATATTAAATGAGAAGGGTAGTTTTGGCATTATATAAATTATTACCTTCTATTTTTTGATTTTGTTTTATTTATTATTATTGAATACTTTTTCCATCTGCTACGTCTCTTCCCTTTCCCTTTTTGCAATGTCCAGAGAGAGAGAGAAAGTCGTGGGCGGAGGATGAGAGAGAGAAAGAGAAACGCGGCGGCTACGCTGGAGGAGAGAAAGGCGGCCGGCGATGATGGAGATCTCGATGGCGCCGACGACGGTGGAGAGAGGCGGCGACCTCGATTGCCGTTGTCGCAGAGAAACAGAGGAGAGAGAGAGAGAGATCGTGGCGGAGGAGAGAGAGGCGATGGCGGAGAGAGAGAGAGGCGATGGCGGAGAGAGCTTCGACGATGATGGAGGAGAGAGAGGCGATGGCGGAGAGAGAGAGAGGTAACGACGGCTGTAGAGAGAGTCGGCGGCAGCGGCGGCGGCGGCGGCGGTGGAGAGAGAAGAACAGTGATTTGTATAGTTTGTATGTTTTGTAACATTAGTTTGTATTGTTAGTATTTTTGTAAAAAATGTCAGTATGGTTTGTATGTTTTTCTTTGACAGTTTGTACTCTTAGTATGTTTTTCTTTGACAGTTTGTACTCTTAGTATGTTTTTCTTTGACAGTTTGTATTCTTAGTATGTTTTTCTTTGACAGTTTGTATTCTTAGTATGTTTTGCTTGTATTCTTAGTATGTTTCGCTTTGTATTGTAAGTACTAATAATTTGTATACTTTATATGTATTGATTTGTGATGCAAAAAACATTACAAACATGGTTGACAAAAATGACAAACATGTGGACAAAAATAACAAACATTACAAACAATACAAAAGAAACCAACAAACATTACAAACATTACAAAATAACAAACATTACAAACATTGCAAACAAACATTACAAACATTACAAACAAACATTACAAACAGTACAAAGCATACTACACGTACAGAATATCACTACTAACAATACAGATTGGTAAACTTGTATTACAAACAAATGAATACAAAGTATACAAATCATAACATAAAAGTATACAAACATTACAAACATTGCAAACAAACATTACAAACATTACAAACGAACAAATGAATACAAAGTATACAAATCATAACATAAAAGTATACAAACATTACAAAATAACAAACATGACAAACAAACATTACAATGTATACAAAATAGTAATATAAACATTACAAACATCACGAACTCAATACTGTTGCCGGAAAATCATCCACCACCGTCTCTGGTCGCCGGAAAACTGCTCCGCCGTCGCCGGAAAAGTTGACTCTCTCTCTCTCTCTCTCTCTCTCTCTCTCTCTCTCTCTCTCTCTCTCTCTCTCTCTCTCTCTCTCTCTCTCTCTCTCTCTCTCTCTCTCTCTCTCTCTCTCTCTCTCTCTCTCTCTCTCTCTCTCTCTCTCTCTCTCTCTCTCTCTCAATGGCGCTTCATCTCTTGGGGAAATTCCACTGGAATTAATGGCGCCCAGGAATTGGAATTAATGGCGCCAGGAATTGCCGACGGTGGCGGGGCAATTAATTGGGACGGAGGCGGCAGGCGACGCAAAAGGGACGGGTTCCGCGCTGGGTTAATTTTTTTTATTCTTTTTATAATTAAAAATTAAATAAACATGTAATTACTACATTACCCTTCATTAAATAGAATTAATAGGAGCCCTTGGATTTTAATGAGGTTGAGTGGCTGAGATCCACTTAGCCATGTCCCCCTTAGTCACCTGATCCCACCCCGGATGGAAGGATTCTGGAACGAACACCGGCAAATTTCCATTACCAACCGACCGACCGCGTCAAGCTTTGGCGTTACGCGTTTGTGATTCCCGGCGTTTTTTTGACGGCGCACTCCATCTCTCTTTCCCTCAAGCCAACGAATTTTTTTTTTGCCTTTTCTCCTCACCCATTTCTGTCTACTCACGCCGTTCAATATTATACCAAACTAACGGCAAAGCTTGTTGACCAAGGCAGTAAAATCTCTTACCTCCATTTATGCGGTGAATTATTCCTCAAGGCTTTTTGCTAGCTAGTTGAGATTTTCATTTCGATCTCTCAAACGGAAAATATTATTTGGGATCTTTTTTTAGTTAATGTGATGCGAAACAAGAATAATGTGTGCAAGTCCGAGAACAAAAATCCAACTTCATCTGATGTACACTTCATTAGAGTTATGAAGATTAAAGGTAGTCATTGGTAGATAAGTTTGACTTGTTGTAGACACCGACATGGATGTCTTTATCATCCACAAGTCCCCTTCAAATTAGTGGTAGAAAATAATGAAATTGTCACTCTTCTAATACTCGATCGATTGGATGATGACGACAATTTATAAATTTTTAGAGTGATGATGAGATGGTACGAAATCCATCAACATGACCAAAGGTGATCCATCCTCGGCCAATGCTAGCTCATCCCGACCAGATTCCAAAACTTCCTCTCCATGGCATGGTCCATGAAACCGTATCGGAGATCGTACCGGAAAATTCAGTGGTAGGGTATTTTATGGTAAAATCGTGGTCTCATCGTAGTTCAACCGTTAGACCTTTAAATACCACCTACCGGTTTAGCCTTCGATACTGGTACTTCGTGGTTGAACCACCGGTACGTTACGGTTTCATAGAATGTTAATCAGAGGGAATTCAATTGAGTCAATATTCATTTGATGCTTTCTTGGAATGAAATGAACGGCTGGAGATGGATTCATTTGGATTTGGACTTGGGTAGGTTAAGTAGCTCCATCTCGAAGATTATTGTTGTACCCTCCAAAATCTACCTCTCCATCACCACCAATCAATGACCTGGTCAAACCAAAGGGCCAAACATATGCCTTTCGTGATACTCTCCAACCCAACAGTTTTGGTGACTGACTGTCACGTTGCTCGCCGGCCTGGCGCCGGACCATTTTCTAGATTAGAAAATTAGAATACGGGCTTGGGCCATTAAGCCTTTCTGGTCCATTGACTTAAGGCCCATTTACTGAGCCCACCATATTTATTGATTTTCTCTCTATTTTTACCTGCTCCATAGGACTCATTCGTTATCACACCCAATCCGCGGCCCCTTCCTCGCCATGTAGAAAAGGATTCACATAACCATAAGAAAATCATGTCCAATGTCTCATAAAACTAGAATTTTTTTTTTCCCGTTTTCCAAAAAGTTGTTATTGAATTCCACTCGATAATTTCTAGCAATACCAAACCCCGCTTTCGCACAGTTGATATTGGCTTGTTATACTCTCATCCATGAATGAGGTACGATGAGAAATGTATGCAAAAATTATATACAAGTCTGGAGATGAGAGATCATACCCACGTCCATGAGTTTGTTGCCATCCCTACTCGAGTGTGATAAGGAAAGTAGTGCGATAACTGGTTTGTCGTTCAGATCCGAGTCAAACATCACAACGTTGACTACAAGTCTGGAGACAAGAGATCATAAATGGTGGGTGAATGAGGATAGATAGACAGACAGACCTCTCCAACGCAATACTAGCTAGCCTAACAGAACCACGAGCTTCAAGCTCCTCTCATAAAGAGACTCCTTGACGGTCAACTCCGGCGTCACAGTCGCATGGACCAACACTCTCACAGCCGCAGTCGCCGTCAGTGTTCGTGTTCGTGTTACAGCCACCGCCCGTTGAGTCCTGGACTGCCCAAAGAATCGAGAATAGAAAGAAATTCAGCTCAAAATTGAAACCACAAAGGCTAAGCAAGAAACCTTCATTAAGCCAGAGGAAAGAAATTCAGTCATTAAGCAATTAAAACGAAACAAAAGAGAAACATGTAGCAAATATATACGAATCCCACCAGTTGTTACGCAGATAGAGTACTATTACTATATCATGCATCTCACTCAATTCAGATGGCTAGTGACAAGAGCAAGAAGAACAAAAAAAAAAAACACCAAATCATTACCAGGTTACATGAGTGGCTTGGGTCGGCGTGGGTCTTCTATAATCGCTTCCTTTTGGCCTTTCAGACGTAGCAGATGCGTCTCACAGTTACCCATAAAGTCCCGGTAAACTTGATCTTGATACACTTTCTCGGCGCCTTTAGGATCGACGCAGAGCACTTTAGTAGCCTTGAATGTGATGTAGTAATTGCCACCCGCAACAGCTACCCGGTTGGCCCTCAGAATATCACCAGCTTCGAGCTTCAGCTCCTAGAAGAGGAAGACAGCCGGGTGCCAAGTGAATCAAAGCCGCAACAACAAACACATAAAGGGAATCACAGGAGGAGGTATCATGCAAACCTTATTGTCTGCTTCATTCACTTGGTTAACCACGTGATCCACGCATACACGGACATTGTTGAGCGAATAATCGTTCCTCAAGTTGACAGGCGAAACCCTGTGTACAATGCAATCCACAGGAGGAAATTCGGTGAAGTCAAATCCCTAAGGGGATCGTTTGGATTAGGGAGTTCAATAATGAGGGATTTAGATTGAAATCTCTCCATTAAAAACCTAGATATTTAATACACAGGATTTGATCAAATAATGTGTTTGGCAATTAATCCAGGTTTTTGAATTGATAAATTAAAAAGACAGTCCTGCCCTTTCCTTCTTCATGCCAAATCTTTCTTCCCCCTCTTCTTTCTCCCCAAACTGAAGTCGACAGAAACTTGAGCATCGCCCGCTCCGGTGCAATCACAATCACTCATTGACGATTCCTTTGCTTCCTCCGACAGCAGCATCGGCGAGTGAAATTTGAAATAGAGCATGCTCCGGTGAAGCCCAGATACAGCTCGTAGAAGAACCCCTCTTCGTCGTCTCTGTTTTGGCTAGATTCGCCGGTGGTACTCAACCTGGCGCGCATTCCCCGATCTGCTCCAAATCGACCACATGCAATACTCGGTGGCATCTCCACCCTGAGCTTGATTGTCGACGGAGCTGAAGGCGCTAGATCTGGGTTTCCTCTGCATCAGCGGCGCTACTACCTCCTCCCACACTAGCCAGTGGATCCAGCTCAGCTTCTTCTTCTTTTGGGATGGGGTCGGAGGAATTGATGGTTAATCAACGGTGGAGGGATCCCAAAAATAGAGCTTTGCGACGACGGTTCCAATCGCTCAATAGCGGTAGTCCGACCTTCCTATCTGCGATTCGTCGATCTTCTCTAGAGACGACAGATCTATCCCTATGATTCGCCCTGAGTTCCGACATTCTTCTCTATGGTTCGATGCGTCGTCTCCAGAAGCCCCAAATCTATCTCTCTGCAATTCGCCCTGAACTCCGACCTTCTTCTCTATGGTTCAATGGGACTTCGCCTGAGATCCTAAATCCATCCCTCCTCTTTGTATTTCGCCCTTCTGCTAAACCTTTTTGGTCGTCGTAGAGCAATAACAGGATGAGGGAGAGCAATCAATGCCGCCTCGAGTCCCTGGCTACCGATTGAGAAGTCGCCGGAGGGATTGTTGCTACTGCTGTGAAGTCATCGTTCTCTGTTGGTGCGAGACAGGAAAGAACGATCTCTGAGACAGATAGATTAAGGAAAGAGGGTAGGGACACGCTGGGAAGAACAAAATAATTAGGGCCGGATTTTGAAATAGCTGGGGGGTGGCACTTAATTTCAATTTCGGGTTGGGCCGGATTTGACAATTCCTGAAGCCCAAATCTCGGTTATTTTAATATCTATCCAAACAAGGATATTGGTTAAATTCCTGGACGGGCCAGAATTTGGGCTAAATCCCTGCCCAATTTCCCTGATCCAAACGACCCCAAGGTAAATTCAGAGGCAGGGGAAATTAACAAAAAGAATACTACTACATGTCAGGAAAAGCAGTTGCGGTTCTAGACATACCTCGCTTTCCATAACCTCGTCATAGAAACGCCTCAACTTCGCCATGCCTGCTTCGTCTGAAGGGAAAAGGACCAGGGGCTTCCGAGCAACCTTAATCGACGTCGACTCTTCCTCTTCACTCTCCTCCATGTCGGTGTCGGTGTCGCCGTCATCTTCTTCTGTGACTTCGACGTCGCCGGCGGCTTCATCCGTCGTCTTCTCCGGTCCCGGAGTTGATTCTACGTCGCTCCTTGATGGGTTGGAATCCATATGTGGCCGCCAGAAAAGGGATGGAATTGGCAGAAAGTAGCAAGCGGAAACCCTAGGAAGGGACACGAGAATGAAATTACAAATTAGAGATCTCGGTATTATTTGTAAAATATTTTTTCTTTTTCTAAATAGGATTGTGACATCCTAATGAAATTTATATCGGAAAGTCAACGGTATGATATTATAAACTAAAATCGTGGTTTAATCGTGATTCAATTGTTTTCTACTGCTAAAAGTGCTTACCGATTTGGGTCAGGTATGCAGTATTTCTTGTCCGACCGATCACGATCAGTACGATAGGTCATCTAAAGCACTATTTTGTAACTGGTTTTTATCATTTTGTTTCATATCTTAATCTTAAAATATATAAGAGCAGTTTAAGAAAACGACCCTCTCCACGTCAGCGTTGGAGGCTTCCCCGTGAATTTCGGAATTATGATTCTTTTTCCTTTTTTCGCTTTAATAGCAGCTTTTGCCTGCACTCAATTTTTCGGGAGGAATACAACGAATTCTTTTTGGTGGAACTGCAAATCTTGATCCCCATTTTTTAGCATGTGGTTTTATTTATTTATAAAAAAATTCGTGTTGTTTTTTAAATAAGCAGTTATTCATTTAACGGATAATTTGATTTTGTTTTTGGGCATATGTGGCATATTAGTTTCTGTTAAGGGAAAAAATTTAATGAAAGTTACCAAAAAAAAAATAATGAAACCATTCTCAAGCCTTTTTTTTACTGGACCAGATTATTCAATAGTATAGCCGTATAGGATATTGGATGAGATAATTAGTTTCAATGTTTTTCTTTTGAACATATTAGTTCAATATTATGGATTTTTGGTGGATAAATGTTCTTACCTAAATACTTATATTGACACTTCATGATTCACCATTTTATTTTTTTAGAACTGTTTAACCAGTCAATGTCAAAAGCATGAGTTAATATTAGATTGTTTACAAAAGTTAATATTATAGAATTAAATCGTCATAAATAACCACAATAAATTATGAGAATTTTCAACATATGTCTATGATTGATTTAGGAGTTTAGACGGCATTTAATTTTTCTCGATTAAGAGTTGAGTAATTAACTTTAAAACATACATTGACTATGGTAGAAGCACAAAATTGTTGCTTGATAAGTTAGGCAAAGGAAATAGTTCAACCTTTCGTAGATCAATATTGAAGCCACATATTGGAGAACAAATTATTCTAAAGAATGTACAAAAATAGGAAAGTTCCAAAATAAATTAAATATAAAATTTTGCTTAATTAACATAAATAATCAAATGAAACTCGCCCGGCCAACCGGCCGGGTACAAAGCTAGTTTGTAAGTATAACGTTTTAATTACATTAACGATCGCTAAAATTTAAACTCTTAAATTTTCTCCACCGCCGGCTTCTTTGGTTCCGATTTTAACTTCAATGTCGACAAGTCCACGAGTCGATTTAAGGCTCGAGAATTATGAATTAGTGATCACGGTTTTCACCTCTTTATATATCCACCACCAAGAAGGTACACAATATCTCTTGCTTATTTCTTAGTGGAATGATGATGGACGCAGTTTGTAAGCGGAGTTTATTGTTCTACACAGCCTGCCTTTGACTCTATTGCGCCAATTAAATTGTCCCTACTGTTAGGCCAATTCCAATTCAAAGTATTAATTTATGGATGAACTTAGACAATATGCCACAGGTGCGTAGAAGGTTTTGTCTTTTTCTATCTTATTGATTATATGGTAGATTTAGCTAGATTGAGATGGGTATGCAAGCTATCTTAATGCATTGTCGGAGTTAGGCAGCTCAACATAATTCTCTTGATAGTTCAAGTCAGATGGTGAAGGAAGTTATTGAGTGATCACTCCCAAGTAAGCTTCCACCAAGTTGTCTTAAATTCGTTACCAGAATGCTTAGTCAACAGTTGGTAACTTGTGCGAGTTGTGTATTTTTGTACCATAAGCTTTTACAAATGCCGATCTTCAAAAAACATGTTGTCGACTTCCATGACTTAACAAAAAGAAGCATGATTCATATTTTGTACGAAAGCCGTTCCCTTCAGATTTGCTAATAGATTTATGTTGTGTATTTTATAGGAAAATGCATCTCATTGCTGGAACAATGAATGGTTCATTGACTACAAGTTATTTATGGTTTATCTACTATTGGAGATCCTACTGCTGAGATTGAAGTCATCTTCCTTTCTTACCACCTTCATAGAATTGGATGTGATGTGTTGAATGGTGATGATGCTTATTGGATATAGAATTGGTCAATATCCTCATCTTAAAGTCATTCCAGATCATGATTCAAATCAGCACTTGGAACCAGAACGTCCATTACTATGCTTTGATTTTGCTGAAGTTGTTCCCAGCTTTCGTCAACTAATATTATGTCTATGTTTACAATATGTCCTTAGTTTCCAATGGACAAATTATCTAGCTTAATTTCCTCCTTCTTGGATCCTTTCTACCTACTTTGATTTTGTATTGTTACATACCCTATAGTTATAATAGAACAACTTTTCTATCCCCTGCGTCACACCCATGCGCTGGGTTTATTGTTGTCATTTTTGTAACCCTTTGCAGTTTGCATATTATTCCTTTTCTATCTCACAAAAACAGTCGGTAATTTTTTTAATTAAATTCAAGTCGGTGATCAAATTGGCAATCGTTGTGAATATGACATGTATTGTATGCTAGGAAATGACAGCAGATAGTGACCGAGAGCCGTTGATCGTGGTTCCACTCTGCTTCCGAAGCCATCGAAGCAAAGAATTAAGCCAAACTGGTTCGGCCTTGAACTTGGCTCTCTGCATCTCGTTGTTGTCAAGCAGGACTTCCAGTCGGCTCCTCTTTTGTATCCCACGGAATACAACAAGTATACTATTCGACTATGGGGTTTAGGCTTTAATCAACTGCCGATAGAATTTGTAAATAAACACAGTGCAGAAAAGGAGATCATCTGGCAAACTTCTACACGACCAAGTTGATAACAAAAGCAGTGGAATAACTAGTTCATTGTTCAGATCCGATTCATACATCACAACGTTAACTACAAGTCTGGAGACAAAAGACGATAAATGATGGGTGAATGGGGATAGATAGACAGACAGACACTAACAGACCACGAGCTTCAAACTCGTCTCATGAAGAGACTCCTTGACGGTCAACTCCGGCGTCACAGTCGCATGGACCAACACTCTCACAGCCGCAGTCGCCGTCGGTGTTCGTGTTCGTGATACAGCCACCGTCCGTTGAGTCCTCGACTGCCCGAAGAATCGAGAATAGAAAGAAATTCAGCTCAAAATTGAAACCACAAAGGCTAAGCAAGAAATCCATCTCACTCAAGAGCAAGAACAGAAAACACCAATACATTACCACCAGGGTACATGAGTGGCTTGGTGCGGCTTGGGTGTTCTATAATCGCTTCCTTTTGGCCTTCCAGACGTAGCAGATGCGTCTCAAAGTTACCCAGAAAGTCCCGGTACACTTGAGCTTGATACACTTTCTCGGCGTCTTTAGGATCGGCGCAGAGCAGGTTAGTAGCCTTGAAAGTGATATATTAGTTGCTACCCGCAACAGCTACCCGGTTGGCCCTCAGAATATCACCCGCTTCGAGCTTTAGCTCCTAGAAGAGGAAGACAGCCGGGTGCCAAGTGAATCAAAGCCGCAACAACAAACACATGCAGGGCAAAAGGGAATCATAGGAGGAGGGTATCGAACCTTATTGTCTGCTTCATTCACTTGGTTAACCACGTGATCCACGCATTCATGGACATTGTTGAACGAATAATCGTTCTTCAAGTTGACAGGCGAAACCCCATATGCAATGCGATCCACCGGAGGAAATTCGGTGAAGTCAAATCCCTAAGGTAAATTCAGATGCAGGGGAAATTAACAAAGTAATACTACTGTCTGTAACAGAGGAAAAGGTATACAGGGGAGAAGAAGGAAGCAGTTGCGGTTCTAGGCAGGCATACCTCGCTTTCGATGACCTCCTTATGGAAACGCCTCAACTTCGCCATGCCTTCTTCGTCTGAAGGGAAAAGGACCAGGGGCTTCCGAGCAACCTTAATCGACGTCGACTCTTCCTCTTCACTATCCTCCATGTCGGTGTCGGTGTCGGTGTCGCCGTCATCTTCTTGCTTCTGTGACTTCGACGTCGTCGGTGGCTTCATCCATCGTCTTCTGCTTCTTAGGCTCCGGTCCAAGATCAGTTTTGCTCGAGGAGGAGCCAGATCCCGGAGCTGATTTGACGTCGCTCATTGATAGATCGGGATTAGCATCCGTAGCCAGAAGCTCATGGCCGAAGATCGGCGTCGTGAGATTGGAATCCATGGCCGCCGGAAAAAAGGATGGTTTCGCAGAATGTAGCTGGCCGAAACCCTAGGGAGAAAGGAAATTGGGAAAAAATCCAAAAGTACCACTGTTTTAAAAAAAAATTCCAAAAATACCACCCAACCCCAAAAAATTCCAAAAATACCATCCTTTTTCAAAAACCGCCACCCCACCCAGCGGTTTGGTCGAAAACCGCTTGTCGGGGGCGCGGTTTTGGACCAAACCGCGGGCCTAGGGGGCGGTTATAAAAAAAAATATTTGGATCAAACCGCTGGGTGGGGGGCGGTTTGGCCCAAAACCGCCACCCCAACCAGCGGTTTGATCCAAAAAAAAAAATTTCGACCAACTCCCAACTTCGGTCGAAACTTCAAACGAACGTAACTTTGCACTCGGGTATCCGATCGTAGCGATCTTTTTTTTCATTTCGCATAACTTTTCAAGATCTACAACTTTTACTAGGATAAAATTTTCAAAACAGGAACTATTTGTGGATATACGGGACCTTGAGAATAACTTTACCTTTACTTTTCAGAAATCCATGTACATTTTGAAATTATGATTATATTAAAAGTTGTAGATCTTGAAAAGTTATGCGGAATAAAAAAAAAATTCATGATATTCGGATTTTGGAGCACAAAGTTATGGCCGCCCAAAGTTTGACGAAATAAAAAAAAAGGTTCGGGTGGCAAATGACGTTTTTTCGAGACGAAGACGGAACCCGACTGTTTGAGACTTGCAAGATCTCAAAAAGTTATTCGGATTCAAAATATGGAGGCCGCAAACTTTTTGAGATCTTGCAAGCCGCAAACCGCCGGGTCTCGCCTTTCGTCAAACTTTGGGCGGCCATAACTTTGTGCTCCAAACTCTGAATGTTATGAACGTTTTTTTTGATTCCGCATAACTTTTCAAGACCTACAACTTTTAATATAATCATAATTTCAAAATGTACATGGATTTCTGAAAAGTAAAGGTAAAGTTATTCTCATCCTAGTAAAAGTTGTAGATCTTGAAATGTTATGCGAAATGAAAAAAAACATCGCTACGATCGGATACCCGAGTGTAAAGTTACGTTCGTTTGAAGTTCCGACCGAAGTTGGGAGTTGGTCGAAAAGAAAAAAAAAAACAATTTGGACCAAACCGCTGGTTGGGGTGGCGGTTTTGGGGCAAACCGCCCCCCACCCAGCGGTTTGGTCCAATTTTTTTTTTTTATAACCGCCCCCCTAGGCCTGCGGTTTGGTCCAAAACCGCGCCCCCGACAAGCGGTTTTCGACCAAACCGCTGGGTGGGGTGGCGGTTTTTGAAAAAGGGTGGTATTTTTGGAATTTTTTGGGGTTGAGTGGTATTTTTGGAATTTTTTTTTAAACAGTGGTACTTTTGGATTTTTTCCAGGAAATTGGGGATCTCTTATTCCCCGCGCCGCAAATGTCTTTCTTTTATCGAAACGCTACCTTGTATAACGCGCGTGGATGGATCTTCGAAAATTGGTTGCGTTTCTAAAAAAACTAGCAGAAAGCGTGGCATCATGAATTCATGAACATCAACGAAGCTCGAGAGACAACCTCATTGTCCTCGATCCTGAGATCAGCTAGTTGTCATTCTCAGTTTAGGGGATCCCGTCGAAACCCCTCACCACCACCTGGCCCTTTCGAACGATTTGTGCACTGTGACGGCTCTTTTGTTTCGGAGTCTCAGTTGGCGGCTTGTGGGATTACCATTGCTGATGCCCACGATCAGGTGATTGACGGCAAGGCGGAGAGATTCTATTGTTCCTACCCGATTCAGGCAGAAGCATTTGCTATTCTGGGTGCTGTGGTGTTGGCGGCCCAAGAGTCCTATCCGACGTGTATCAAAAGCGACTGCCAACGTTTGATTGTGGCTCTTATTCAAGACCCCTGCGATTGGCCTTGACAATGTCGTGCGACCCTGGCCCGGATTGTGTCTCTTCTTCAGGGGGCTCCTTGGATCAAGTTGTCCTTCGTTCCTCGGCGATTTAATTCTCTTGCGGATTGGGTCGCTAGGAATGCCCGACTTGATCTCTTACCACAGGATTGGATTGTCATTGCAAATTTGATTTCGCCCTTGTTGTAAACTTTTGTTTCTGCTGGTCTGGTTTGGTTTTATAGAAGATGTTTCATTGTCAAAAAAAAAAAAAAATGGCTAGGAAAGATTTATTTTTATATTTATGTTTTAAATAAATTAGCTTTCTTCCCCGGCAAATTGGCCGGGTGAATCTTATATTCATAATTATGTTTAAATTAATTTTAAAATTTCAAGTTATAAATGTTTCTCCAACTCATTCTGAAAGAACATATTTGTGGTCTCTTAAAATAGGTTTATGAGATCGTATTTAATTCTAAATTCAACCATCGACATTCAGTGATTTTTAGTCTTTGATTTAAGCAATATGTTGTTTAAACCATGGATTACGAAACCGTACCGGACATCAAACCAGAATCGTCTTTGGCATGGTAAATTGTGGTACAACCATTTCCTACCAGTAAATATCGTTTTTGGAATAAAAAATTTATGTATTTTGTTAAAAAACCGTACCGGCAAAATTAGGGTACCATGCCGAGAAAATACCGGAATAAAACCGGATTATACCGCCTAAGAAACTGTAAAAGAGTAAATAAGCTTAGGTAACATTCAACAAAGTGCGATATTTCAATACCTAATAAACCTCATAATCATCCAAATACATTTTTAGAAACTAGTACAAAACAACCAAGCAAAGTTCACAAACCACAAGTTCAAAGTCTCAAACTAGAAAGTAAAAACTACTAATTGGATCTTTAGTTCGAAATCAAATCCATAGCTTCATCCCCCAAACTCACTTCACACAAACTCTCCAACTTCCCACTCATCTCCCCATCTCCCACAACCTTCTTCATCCCTTCCTCCAATTCCCTTCTCCCAAACCCACTCAACCTCACCCCAACCCTCCACTCCTCCACTATACGCGCACAGTTGGCGAACTGTTCGCCGGCGATCGGATAACACAACATCGGCTTCCGGCAGCGGACGACCTCCACCGTCGAGTTCCACCCGCAGTGCGTGAGGAACCACCCCACCGCCACGTGTAGCAGCACCTCCACCTGCGGGGCCCACGACACCACCCTGCCAAGCTGGCTCGCCGACATCCTCTTCTCGTATCCACGTGGCAGCCCCTGCCTCCAAGCGAGCCCCAGCACCCAGACGAACGGGACGTGGAGGGATTCCAAGGTGGTTGCGAGGGCCCGCACCTTGGGCTCTCCTATTGGGCTGACCTAGCTGCCGAAGGCTATGTAGAGGATCTAGTTGGGCTTTCGGGCATCCAGCTAGGGCAAGCAGGCCGAGTCTTGTTCCCAGAAGGTTACATTCCCTATGTTTGGCCCGACTTTTAGAAGTGCTTTTCGGGTTCAAAAGCTGAAGCAGGGCCAAATACCTGTAAAAGTTCGGCTTTTGAAAAGCCGAAAAGCGCTTTTGTATAACATAAAAGCAGAAGCTCCGATTTGGAGCTTCCACGAAAAGCTGTTTTGAAAATACAAGATTATCCTTATCATATTTTAATTTTATTTCGGAAAAGATAATTTTCCTTCATTTATATCATTTTAAAAATAAAATAAATTATAAAATCATATTATTTAATATAAAAGAAATCTAACAAGATCCATTTTGACTACTTTTTATTGTTTAGAATTTTTATTTATATTTTATATTATAAGTCCTTTATAGTCATTTTACACAATCTCTCACATTAAAAAGCACTTCTAATAGTTTTACAGCCAAACACTCAACTGTTTTTTTTTTAAAGTACTTATCTAAAAACTCCAACCAGAATCTGTTTCTGCAAAAGCTACTGCAGGGCCAAACTAAGTTATTGTTGTTGTTGTTGGTGATAGAATTGTGGCCTTGGTGGTTGGGCATTAACGGGCCCACTTGCAGGATTTGCGGATGCTGCTGCTGCTTTTGTTGGGGGGGAGTACGTGAGGGTGGTAGTTTTGGTCAGGGAAGGAGTTGACCAGAAGGAATTGGAGCTAGGTGGTTGATCTTTCATCTTTGCAAGGTCTTGTTCCAGAATTTGAACCTTGCGCTTCTTGCCGATGGGCTTCCGACCAGCCATGGTAGGTTGTACGTCGGTCGATCGTGGGGTAGAACATCGACGATGGGAACTCCTGGGTGTTGAGAGATTCTTGAATGATGAGGAAAATATTAAGGGTTAATTGCATGGTTGGTCACTGAGTTTACAACAAACGTTCAAGTTTGGTCACTCGAAATATTTAAATTTATTGGTGGTACTTCAGTTTACTGAAACCGTTCACGTTTGGTCACTCTCCGTCCAACTCAATTAACTTTTGCTGATGTGGCACTTTCACACTTCATTTCAAACGATTACTAACTTCCTTAAAACTTAACAATAAGGAAATTATCTCACAAATCTATAGGATCATCGCTCAACAGCACACAAAGTTTAACAGATTGAAAATCAATTCAATTGCAATGGTCATCTTCCGCAGCGACGACGTTTCATCCTTGGCGGACTGTTTCCTCTTGCAACGTCGTTTCATGAGGCAGTTCCACTTGACTGAACGATGTCGTTCTCTCGAGACACTTATCACTTGTTAAGACGATGTCGTTTCCTTCTTCTTTAGGATGTACTTTACTTTTTGTCCAAGCCATGTAATGTTTCCTTTACAAGCTTCCAAACAAACCATCCATGGAGCTTGTCTTGTAATGAGTTTAGATTGCCTATAAGAGGCAAGTAATGAGAAAGACAAGCTTTAGGGTTTTCTCCTCACTCCATGTTATTTGTTATGGTATCAGAGCCCGGAGTTCAACCCTAGCCGCCGCACTCAAGAATCCTTTTGAGTGCTTGGGTCGGCGTGGGTCTTCTATAATAGCTTACCAGGGTTATAATGAAAAAAACACCAATACATTACCAGGGTTACATGAGTGGCTTGGGTCGGCGTGGGTCTTCTATAATAGCTTCCTTTTGGCCTTTCAGACGTAGCAGATGCGTCTCGCACTCACCCAGAAAGCTTCGATAAACTTGAGTTTGATATTCTTTCTCGGCGTCTTCAGGAACGGGGCAGAGCAAGTTAGTGGCCTTGAACGTGATGTAGTAATTGTTACCACTGACAGCTCGCCTGTTGGCCCTCAAAATATCACCAGCTTGCAGCTTCAGCGCCTAGAAGGAAGACAGAGTGAATCAGGAAAAACAGCTAACACTAATACAAGCAATTACACAAACACCTACAGGGAAAAAGGGGATTCATTTGAGGAGGAATCAAATTCAAACCCCATTGTCTGCTTCATTCACTTGGTTAACCATGTGATCCACGCATACACGGACATTGTTGAACGAATATGCGTTCTTCAAGTCGACAGGCGAAACCCCGTGTACAATGCGATCCACCGGAGGAAATTCGGTGAAGTCAAATCCCTAAGGTAATTCAGATGCAGGGGAAATTAACAAAAGAATACTACTGTCTGTAACAGAGGAAAAGCTATACAGGGGAGAAGAAGGAAGCAGTTGCGGTTCTATGCATACCTCGCTTTCGATGACCTCCTTATGGAAACGCCTCAACTTCTCCATGCCTTCTTCATCTGAAGGGAAAAGGACCAGGGGCTTCCGAGCAACCTTAATCGACGTCGACTCTTCCTCTTCACTCTCCTCCATGTCGGTGTCGGTGTCGCCGTCATCTTCTTCTGTGACTTCCACGTCGCCGGCGGCTTCATCCATCGTCTTCTCCGGTCCCGGAGTTGATTCTACGTCGCTCCTTGAAGGTTTGGAGTCCATATTATGGCCGCCGGAAAAGGGATCCATTTGGCAGAAAGTAGCTAGCGGAAACCCTAGGAAGGGACACGAGAATGAAATTAGAGATCTCTGTATTATTTGTAAATTTCTTTCTTTTCTTTTTTTTTTGCTAAATAGGATTGTGAAATCTTAATGAAATTTATATCGAAAAAGTCAATGGTATGATATTTTACACTAAAATTGTGGTTTAATCGTGATTCAATTGTTTTTTTGTTACTAAAAGTGCTTACCGATTTGGATCCGGTATGCAGTATTTCCTGTCCGACCGATCACGATCAGTACGATAGATCATCTAAAGCACTATTTTGTAACTGGTTTTATCATTTTTGTTTCATGTTTGCTAGTATAAAGTTCTAATTACATTAACGATCGCTAAATTTAAACTCTTAAATTTTCTCCACCGCCGGCTTCTTCGGTTCCGATTTAACTTCAATGTCGACAAGTCCACGAGTCGATTTAAGGCTCGAGAATTATGAATTAGTGATAAGGATACAATGTATTGGCTCGATAAATGGATATATCTATTTGTATACTATTCATACATTAATGTATCATTACGAAATGAATACTAAGCTGGTCCATTAATATTCTGCACAGTAATTCGTTAAACAAATATTTTTTTTTTTTCATTTCATGCCCAAGTACCTCTAAACGTTTCTGCGCACAATGTAAAAGGTCTCTCTATAAAATCAATACCTTCTTTTTTTTTCATATTTAAATCTTTGACTACAAATTCTTGTTTTATTCTGGTGATGCCGCTGTTGGGGAGTTGTTACGTGACAGTTTTGGGAGATGCCTTGTTGCTTACGTTCGCAACCTTGGAAGCTGCTTGATCACAACAACTAAACTGAAAGGGGCGGCCGAGGGCCTCAAGATCACTTGGGAGTTGTACATCAAGATGATAATCACCGCCATGACTTGCTTGCACATCAAGTTAGACACATTCTTGACAAAGATTGGAGAGTTAGTATCTCCCATTTTCATAGGTAAAGAAATTGAGGATTGTTATTCGTCGCCCTACTTTTTACTAATCGTCGCCCTAAATTGATGTAAAAAGTCTTAAATACCCTTAATAAAAATGGTATTAACATAACATAACCATCATATTCTCATAACAAGAACATGATATTCTCAACATAAATATCATATATATATTCTCATAACAAGAATATAATATTCGTTAAAGACATTGAGGACTTCTTACATTAATTTAGAGCGATGATTAGTAAAAAAAAATAAGGTGACCAATAGCAAAACATAAGAAATTTTGCCACTGATTACTTAGTTAATAAAGGCAATACCACGATATTGCTAATTTCGGATTTTCGGTACACATATGTTCGATACGGAGGATCCAAATCTAAATAAATGGATCATGTATGATGTAATGGGCATGGACCAAACCGACCGTTTCATTTCATTACGTACAAACGTCCGTCTTTATATAAAAAAAAAAAAATACAGAGATCCCCAATTTCATCGTGCGTTCCTCCCTCCCTCTCTCCGTAGGGTTTCCTCTTGTCAATCCTTTTTTCCGGCGACCATGAATCCCGACCCACAAACCCCGCTGCTGCCCATGGATGGATCTGGCTCCTCCGCGAGCGAAACTGATGAGCTTGAATCGAGTCTGAAGAAGCAGAAGATCGATGAAGATGACTGCGGCGACGTCAAGGGCAGTGGCGGCGAGGAAGAAGAGGAAGAGTGGACTCAGACTATGGAGAAGCCCTTAACCTGGTATCCTAAAACCGAAGAAGACGAGAAGAAGATGACGCTCTTCTATGAGCAGGTTTTGGCTAGCGAGGTACACGCACATACATAGCCGCAACAACTGTTATTGGCTTCTGTTAAGAGTGGTAGTTTTTGTTGGTTGCTCATTCTGAATTACGTACCTTTAGGGATTCGACTATGTCCAACAGCCCCCGGTGGACGTCGTTGAATACGGGGTTTTGCGGGTCAACATGAAGAATGCTGGGTGGCGCGAGCTTGTCCATGAGTGTGTGGATCACGTTGTTGACGAAATGAACAAATCGTCCGACGGGGTTTGATATGATCCTCCCCCTTTTGCTCCACCCATCAATCTGTCTGTGTTTTTTTGTGTTGTTGCTGCAATGCAGTCAAAATCGCGCTTTAAAACTTAAAAGCTTACGCTTTTACCTTTTTGGGTCACCACAACGTTTCTAAGTAGAATCATGATTTTCCCTTACAAAATGTAGTCAAAATCTACGTTTTAAAACTTAAAAGCTTACGATTTTACGCTTCTAGGTCACCAAACCGCTTCTAGGTAGAATCGCGCTTTTTACTGCATTGGTTGCTGGTACTTTTTCCCAAACCAAATTGACTTGGCACGACCCTATTGCATCTGGAGCACTTCTACTATGCTATATAGTATTGATGCTTTAATGTACAACTTAAAGTTGTACCATAACATTAAATGTATAAGTTTAGGTTGTACCACAAAGTAATTTGTATCATTATGTTATGGTACAACTTTACAACTTGAAGTTGTACCATCACATAAATGTACAAGTTCAAGTTGTACCATAAAAGAATTTGTACAAAAGTATAGGTACAATCTGAAGTTGTACCATAACGTAAATGTACAATTTTAAATTGTACCATAAAGGCAAAACCCTATAGCACCAATACTATATAGCATTGTAAAATTTCTCTCTGCATCTGTTGTCTTTGTCTTCTAGGGGTGGAAGTTGGTCGCTGGTGATATTGTGAAGGCCAATAGGCGAGCTGTCCAGGGTTGTATCTTCTTCATCACATTCAAGGCCACCAACTTTGCCGATCCTAAGAAAGAATATGAAGCTCAAGTTTATCGCAACTTTACCGGTGAGTGCAGGACGGACCTGTTCCATGTGAAAGGCCAGAAGGAAGCGATTCTGGAAAGCACCGACCGGTGGAGGATGACCATGTACTATGGTAACTAGCGCAGGGCCCGGCCCGTTGGGCGGGTAAACTAAACATAAGCGTATCATTTGACAAACGTTGGAACATGAAGTCAAATGAAAACGAATTCATTTTTGGGCATTTTAAGTTAAAAATTGTTCGGTTAAAATGTTTATAAAAATATATGAAATTTAATAAGTGGGATGTAATCTTGGGAACATAATAATAAGCATCACATTGGTAATATGTTGCATGAATGATATATGAGATAAACTTAATTAAAAACGCATAATTTGTTTTGTTAACTTACAGTTACAAATTGATAAGTTATAGTATTTATAAGGGAAGCTGAAATTAAATAATTGGGTTATAATCTTGCAAACATAATAATAAGATCATGCAACCATAATAATAAGCACTACATTGGTAATGTGTTGCAAGAATGATGCATGAGATGACCAGAAAAATGTAAGTAGAAATACCAAATTCGCCCAACACAAACTGGCATCTGAATATGGTAATTGAAATTTAACTATTAGAGTAGTAAAAAAAAAAAAAAAGAACTCTGTCTGAAATGAAACTCATTGTTGGAACCAAAAAAGTAAACCATTATTATTCTGACAAAGTACCCCCAGTCCGCCTGCTCTGTTAGCGGAGCCGTCAGATTGGGAATTCTTCTCGCTTATCTCATCTCCTCGCCTGAGTTGCGATAGCGTGACAGATTATAGAACTGACGATGATGAAGGTAAGATCTGGTTAGTTAGTTTGCATTTCGAATTATTGGTACTTTCTTATGATTTAGGGTTCTGACATTTTAATTTTGTGGCTCTAATTATCGTAGAGGAAGAGGAAAGGGTCCCCGATTTGGATCTCTAGCCTGCCTGCTCTAACGGTGAAATCGCCAGCTCAAGACGTCCCGTCTCTTATCTGGTCTCCTTGAATGGAGCTTCAACGGACAGATTGGCGATGACGCGGCTTCTCCTGGCAGCGAGAACCAACGACGATTGATGTTGGTGATGATACTGTCGGTGACGCAGCGGCTTCGGAAGATGGTGGAGGGTGTCGGCAATTTGGAAAGGATTTGGGGTGTGAGTTCCTCCAACAACCCGTCGAATTAACTGCTTTCCCCTTGGCCCATCGACATCTTTGGAGGGATAGGAATAAGCAAGAGCTCAAGAAGACCCAGGAATTGATTCATTCAAGTTCCAGGTAACTATATTTGGCTTTCATTCTTAGTTCAATGTTCAATTAAACTAACTCGGAATTTATCTAGAGAATGCTGACTTGGTATTTATGATTTGTCTACACGGAATAATGGGGTGGTGGTCTATCGATAAAGAAAGTAGAGAGGACCAGTCGAGGTTAGACCAAGAAGGTGCTGATGGGTGAGTCTATGACTCTATGTTATTAAACAACAATCTTCTGGTTTTCTGCAATCATTACATGACCAGGGGCAAAATGGTTTATGTATCTTTAGATACCAAGAAGGTGCTGATGAGTTAGCCTTATTACAGTAGCTGTAATTTCATTCTTGTACCAAGATTTGATTATGCTCTGTGGTCTATGAGAAAAATCATTGCTTTTAATTTAAGACTCTCATCAGGAGGTCTTGGCAGTAGGAGTTTTGCTTTCATCTTCCCTAGAGAAGCACGCTTTCAATCCTTTCTTTGTTCCAAAAAAAGATAAAATATATCTCCCTTGTGAGAAGAGGGTCAACGATTATATGTAGAATTCTTAGAAGAAATTATTAACTACCAATATGCATTGATTTGTTTCCAGGGGAGGATGGATGGATAAGAGGTCCAGCTCCACCAAGGCTGCAGAAGATGAGTTTCAGATTGTTTTCTGCTTCATGGAAAGGATTTCCTGAAGGCTGGCAATGAAAAGTAAAATGGCGTATGGAAAGTGAAAGTTGATGTTTGGACACCTACACATACATATGTTGTGAGAGGATCCGAAAGTAGCCTAAGGAAAACCGTTTGCAGCAGGAGAAAAGCTGGAATTGTGCAAGGTAAGTTTCAAACTTCTTTGGTTTAATTGAGTAGTGTTTTTTAGTGATAAAGAAAAAGGTCTGGTGTATAATAATAGTAGCAGAAACATTCCTGGATATAAATAGAAAGATTAAATTCACTAACCAAGTATCTTTTAACATGATCAATACTTCAATTAGCTAAAACCCACAGGAGATAGATGGAGCAGCTAAGTAATAATCTATGCGGGCAAAGAGTTCAACATCCACAATTGGAACAAATGTGCAGAAATTATCGTTGAAATAAAGCACTGTTCAATTACGTCACACCCTCTACCAGAATAATTTGTGCAGAACCAAATCAAACTCATTGGTCTGGCCGTTGAAATCTCCGAATTCAATCATAAACTTCAATATATTACCCCTAAGAGCAGCTAGGAGAGTCCTGAAGTCATTGGTCCATTCCTCTTCTGTGGCCTCAATGATACGGCTTGCTATCCAACGGAACTTGGTAGTCGTAAACATGATAGAAGCCTCATGAGGACCAGTAGCAACAGTCAGCCTCACCATAAACTTGAGATGCACACTTGACCAAGAAACAGTCACATCCTTGACTGTTGCAGTAGTAAGGTACAAATTCCCCTGTAATATGAACCACATGAAAGCTTACATTTGGGAATGGTAAGAGGATAGTTGATATTTCATTGGTCAAGTTAGAGCATTAGAGACACAGTGAAATCCAACTATGTTGTCCAGGCCAACAATTATGATATTCAATGGGAGCAAAATATGACTTTGGAAATTTTTGTAGGATTTGACCGAGTGTACATATAAACTACCTGGTTGTTGAAATCAGTCTTGTATAGATTCAGTTCCGAAATGGAACATATCTCACTTAACCATATAGCATCCTCCAACGTGTAGTCAATGGCCAGCGGGACATTTTCTATACTGTAAATCAAGAAAAAATAATTCCAAAACATGAGAATAAGAATAATAAAAGAACAGATTATTGAACAAAGGTTAAACACTTACTTATCAAGCAGGGGGTGCACGTGAGGATAGTGCAAGTTGCAATATACTTTCGTTGCATTTGAACCCACACAATATTCTTCCCCTAAAATCATAACATCTAGAAACTCAATAACCACTAATATAAACTAAAAGAATAGGTTGGAAAATTAGAATGAAAACCATGTAAGAGACCTGCGAAGTGGCGGACAACAACGGAAGTGAAGACAACTATTGTTCCTGGTAAAGGATCATTAGGTGTCACAGCTTGAAATTCGTCAATTAGATCATCCCATAAGACGACATCAACTATAGGTCCCCTAAAATTTAAAAAAGAAAGAGATGAATGAATGGTCTGCATACGGTAAGCACACTTCAAATGTAGCCTGTACAAAAAAGCAACCAACTGACTCAATCAATTTAAGCTGCACTCCCTTTCGCCTTAAAACAGCAGCATCTTCGAACAGGACCTCTTCTTGTTCAACAGTTTCAACCTCCCCAATTAAATCTGATCCCAAACATATCGTTAGGAACACAATATGAAAACCAAACTGGCCAAATAAAGCTTTCCTTTGAATTAGAAATACCAGACAAATATTCATGGTTATGGACAGCAAAGGGAATATCATGAGCAGCCAAAAACCGAAAGCTATATGTTGGTATGTCGGCTGCATTCTGGAGTTCCTCAATCACTGTATCATTAAGAAAGCGGATTCGGATAGTTGCAGGAGAAACTCTATAAGTATCATCATATTCTTGGACCAAAAAGTTGCTCAAGAAATAGATCCTTCCCACGTGAAGAACAGGAGCAAACAACTGAACATTAAAAATATCAACCAAGGCCTGCATCTCTGTTCCCTAAAAGTCACAGTAAAAAATCTTTGAGTATTTTTAGTATTGAATAGTGTACTTCCCACTCATGTAAAGAATAGAAGGCTTATAAAATCAAAGTACCTGGTTGTCGAGAAACAACATGTGGATTTGGTCAAGTGTTACACCATCAAGCCTCATTGTATGCCATAAACGCAGGAGCCTGACGCGAACAGCCTGGTCATCATCATGGAGGTTCAATTGGGATAAATTGCGGAGAGCCATCACTGATACCGCACGCTGGAAAAGAGTCACTATTTTGGATGGCAGCAAACCTTTTCACGGGCTGGAAATGTTCTTTATATAGACTTGCAGGAAAGGAAGTTGGTTTAAGCTTGAGAATGGGTGGCATAGTGGAAGAACGTGGTGATCCTGGCAGTTAGGGACTTATTATTTGTATTTATAATATATTTTAATAGGAAAGTGACAGGCCATGTTGGTCAGAGAAAGTAGCAGTACATAGTAAGCATCGGCTTAGTAACTATTAACATTTTTTCCCCTAAGACTTGTCTGGATTCTGACTAATAGTGTGACTGGTCTAATGCAGGGTTTGGTCGAATCATAAGTATGGTTCTACATATGGCAACATTGATCTAGGCATGATGTGAAAATGGAAACAGTCAATGATCCTTTCATTGATGCTAATTACCTGGTCAGAGTTGGATTAGTAACTATTAACATTTCTTTTCCTTATACTCCAAAATGAAAAGGATCTTTGGTGATGTCAAAGTTGTTTAACTGTACTGGATTGAACTCTGAAATGTCATGCAATATGTTTCATTTGAAATTTGATGATGAATTGGCATGAGTATAGTTGTTCCCGCATTGAAATCTGAAAGTAAAGCCCATCCTTTCATATTATGCTAAAATAACTTCTAAGTCACTATATTGAATTGATTATATCCAGGCTTACATGGGCATACACGCAGAATGTGAATCTGCAGCCGACGCTTTGATTGTAGGGTTGGTAATAGTTGTGATATAGCAGCGTCAGACATGATGCCACAACTGGAATGAAGATCCGCAAGTTAATTAAATTGATTGTTTGCTGGTTTAAGAGAGTGCGGGATAAAGGGGCCCATTGTATGAGCATGTAATGGATGCTGAGATAAAAACATAGGAGAGGAAAACCATGTAAGAAAGGCATGATGAAAATAAAGATGTGTTTAATTCATTATTTGTCAAAGGATGTGATAAAGCAATTGAATTTGCCAAATATTGATCGTTCACGTATGCGGTTTGGAATTCGGTAGAGTTCAAAAATTTGACGTTGTATTTTTTGATATCACTTGTATCGACCAGCTCCTCAACTACTGTTTTTGCATCCAACAAAATAGGTACTTATATTGAAATCCATCAATCCTTGTAGGGCACAACGACCCATTGTCAGTGTGCAACACAACAAACGGGAAAAAAGGAAAACCAGTAAACAGTTTCGACAAACACCCAGCAGTTTAGCAACAAAAGGAATTTGAACTGTTCTTCTACAGAATAAAAGTGGAACTACTAATAGGATATTGGTGACATAAAGTTCCAACCCTCAGATATCACTCTGGGTGCATCTTTCGTTTCAGTTTATTATCAGGTGTGATATCAACAGAAACGCCTTTGTCTGCCTCTTGATGTGCTGGATTTGGGATGGAATGTTGAGATGAAGTTTGGGAGGACTCAACTCCACTGGTAATTGATGAACATGAGGCATCTTTGTGAAGAACAGAAGCTGGAGACTGAGATTCGAAGTGGTGGAAAGTAGAAACAATTAGTAATAGGACTTTAAAAGGATTCAATGAACGCTATTATTAATCAAGTACGAATCAGGTCATGCAAATATGTGTCATAGTCATTGTACACAAAACAGTATATTAGAGTTATAAGTCTGGAAGATCTAATGAGTAGTTCACCTGTTCTGTGGGTTCCAAGATTTTTAAGACAGTGAAATCAGCTTGTGAATCACTGTAGAGATTTATCTTGAACTTGACATGAAATAGTTTGGTGTCACCAACTATTTGGAGTAGATCTGGAGGGGGTACCTCATTGTTTTGACCCGTCCTATTGAAAAGGTCATTACCACTGACACCAAAGAAGCGTTTTGCTTCATACTCAAAGATGATAAAGGTAGCTGGCACAGAATTGCTTTCAACATCAAGCTGTATACGATATCTGGAAAGGCATGAAATGGAAAGTAAGCATATTCAATGAAGTTTATAATTCAAGGGTCTGATGGAATTTATTTTGGAACTCAATGATATGGTATTTACTTGGCATCTCTTGTTGGTGTTGGCTTGTTGCATTTGACACAGTAGTATTCTCCATGTCTTTCTATGGGTTTAAGGACACAGGTTGGACAGCCCATGTAACACCAAAATGGCTTGATTCCTACGACTTTGCATTCGACAGCATACACACATTCCTAGTTGTAGTCGAAGTGAATTAATATTGGAGTATAGATTAGAGAAAACACCATAATGTAAAATTAGAGAAAACACCATAATCTAACCTCATTATCAGGGTCCAATTGAAGTTCCAGCAATTCCGATAGAGTAATATTACGAATGAAGGGGGGTGGGGGTAATTCAACAAACACGGGCTGCTGTGGTTGCACATTCCTTTTTCAAAAGAAATAAATATGCTAATTTGACATTGGTTCAACAGTATGGTTCGGATATTCATTAGCAATTAAAAGAGAATACCTGGTTGTGAAAGCCTTTACTTCTGGGATATCAAGGTTGGGATACAACACTGTTGAACCCGAAGAATTAAAGCAAAGTTCACCTGAAAAAGTAAATTGATGTAGTTCCTACTGATCAGTCACCCATATATCTCAAATGCAGCACAGTGTAAACAAATTTTGTACCTAGGAAGGGTTTGACAGAAACAGCAGTTACAACCAGTATGACTTGTTCATTATCACCAGGTTTGATCAACTTATCAAATTCAGCTACAACTCTTCCCCAGATAATAACTTTGACAACATCCCCTCTGTAAAACAACGTAGGCTTAGGTTTGAGAACATAAGTAATGCCTGAGCATGGGTGTAAATGAACACCATACAATGAAGTGACGCATATGAATGTATATGATCAGAGGCTGAATAACCTATGATCTAAATTTATACTGCCTAGAAAAAGTAGAACGTTGTACCCAAGCAATCATCAATCATTCATGTAACTCCAAATTCATATTGATACAGCCGTAGTAAAGATAGCTCTTACTCAATTAGTTTCAGTTGAAGCTCCTTCCGAATGGTTTTCCTAGCAAGATTCGTTGTCTTGATGGCATCCGAGTGCTGTACTACTTGCCCAACAACATCTATACAAAGAAAAGTGAATGGAAATTAGACGCAAGCAAGCACAGAAAGGAAATCAACCACTGAATAAATTGCGGTTGTAACCTGAGAGGATGACCACATCATTCAATTTAGATGCCATCTCACTTGCTTTGAGGAAACTGAATTTGAAGGCAGGAATGGCAGGGACATCAGGAACATGCTCAACAGTAGTCTTCCGGGAGAACGACATGATATATGTATTGGCAATGGGGCGATATTTCAGTTGGGTCGTGTGAAGCTCAAAGTTTTTAATGTTGTAGACCTGCTGTTCCTGCAGCAATCGTTTGAAGTGGTCTTGCAGCACTGGTGGGATATGCACCCATATATCATTTCCCTGGGGATTTATAGAGACGAAGTAAGACAGACTGGATGATATGTGACGCAACTCAAGTTAATGTTAAGCACATCTGTACCTTGGCATCCATCAAGATGAGATCGAAATGCAGGACTTTATCAGTCGTCACATTGACACCCAACCATGCCCTGGAGACGCGACAATGACCTGACCAGAGTTGTTTCTCGGACTCAAGATCTCGGATGCCATTGAATGCCATGGTGTAGCTACCAAAATACATAAGCACTTAGTTATAGTGTAGGAATAGGAAGTTGGTTTGATGGAGGAATGAAGTGGGGAAAAAATTCTGCGAAGAAGAAGTTACCTGGCGGGATTTAGCAAGTGACCACTGAAATCTAAAATGAGCCGAGAGATTTAGAGAAGGTATATATATGTGGATTCCAATTGGGGCAGTTACCAATTACCCCACGTTGGCAAGCAACATCAACATCTTCGGAAGGTAACTGCTACACCAACGTGAGCTGCTTATTCAGGGGATGTAGAGCTGGAGATGGAAATCGAGGGAAAAATTCAAATGTGTCAGTTATAATCCAATGTAAATTTCCCAAGGACCGACATCCCGCCAAAACAGAGCCAGTAGAAATTACCGTCCATGTTCAAGGAGTAACTCGAATTGAAAAGCAGCTCGGTTCCTTTTGTTCCCCGCTGCCGCCGCAAAGAGGGCCACATTCAGAGCTGAGGATTTGACTGCGTGACGTCTGATTCCAGGTGGGAACCAACTTCCAATCTGCTTCCGGTTGAATTGAACTGCAATGTTCGTGGCGGATGTAGTCTGGGCAATTGGTTGCTTCTTCCAATTAGGGATATGGGGAAATGGATATTTGGGGCAGGTGTTCTGCATGGGGAAGACCGGTTAGCTAGCGCCATCCTCAGATAAGCGATCGCTGCCGACGGGGATCCGAGACTGTGGTCGCAATTCACTCGCCGGTGAAAGGCAATGGTAGCGCCGGAAATTTTTTGTTGTACTCTAGCCGCTAGGGTTGGAACTCGATGCCAATGCTGCTAGGAAGCCGCCCAAAAAAAAACATGTGGGCCGAAACCTACTCCACTATTGTTTTGCGAAACGACATTCACAAATGAGATCTTGTTGTGGGCTATAGATGGCCCGTAATGTGTAACAGGCCCATGTGAAATATGTTTTTGACTTGGTTATTTAGAATGGGTCCATTTATATATCTATCTACCTTAGAGAAGTATAAAGACAAAATCACATATCCTAAACTGAACTTTTCCCCTTCCACTGGCGGCAATAAAAGTTGGGAGAGTGAAATGGGCTTTGGCACTTTTCTGGCAATTCATTTATCATTTGATTTTTATTGATCAATTAAACTATAATAAAAGAAAATTATCTTTCGTTAATTTATATTTAACACACGGGAAGATTTAATTGGGATGGTGCAATGCATCCATCCCAATGACGTTTTTCTCAGAGTAAAGGGTTTTTGGACTTCAACCCCTGCCACATTAGGCATAAACAAAAATAAGGCTTCCACGTCAGCATCTCTAAATAACAAATTGAAATCAACGAAAAAGTAATAATAATAATAATAACAAATTGTATGGTTATTTTGCTTACAATTCCATGTAGAAGTAGCAAACCTAACGAAAACTAAATGATATATTATTGCATGTGCCATTCAAGTGTGTTTCCCCATTTTAAAAGATGCTAAGATTACCATGTGGAATATGTTGAACAGTACGACGCAAGCGCGTTTTCAAAATCTCCCATCGTCGTTTTCGATAGAATTGAGAAATCAAGCGACCAATATGGTGCACTTGTGCTTGAATGGTGAGTATTTCTGCAAGTGAAATATACAGATCAAATTATTATGATTTTGTAACACATTAAAATTTAATTTAATGTACTAACAAATGAGTCGCGGGACTACGTTGCTTAAGACGATCCCTTTCAGCAGCGGTTTGTTGGTTGGAAGGCGGAGTTGAAATTAGGTGTATCATTTTCTCATAAAAATGAATCAATTGACAATGAGTGCGCTAGGTTTGGTACATTGATAAAATAAATTAATACCACTTTGAATTATTGAATTTTTTAGCCATTAAATCACTCGTCTCATCGAGTAAAAAAAAAAAGATTTATGTATTTATTTATTTATTATCATTTGACAAAAACATATCTGTATGGTCAGTACAAATTATTGGTTGGAATGCGTGTCAAAAGAAACAACAACTAAAAAAAAATTGTTGATGACTAATTTTATTCTTAATGGTTTCTATTGGTTTTTCGGTTTTAACCAAACCAAAACTATTAAGTTGCTTATTGGTTTAAAACCAAAAAAATGAAACCATTAGCTTTACAATTGGTTTGGTTTTGGTTAAAACCAAAAAACCCAAACCAAATGGACAGCCCTAGTTACGTTTGGATCAAACAAAAACAAACAAAAAAAAAAAAACCCCCACCCACCCGAAGACGGTTTAACTCCCTTCTTCCCTTCCCTCTTCCATCGCTCTCACCTACCCTCCAGTCCCTCCACAGAAACCTGACAATCCACATCCCCAACCCGCCATCTTCTTCTTCTCCTTCTTCCCTCTCCCTTCGCAAAACCCTACCCTCCCACCACTCTCGCTCCTTCTCCCGCTTCGAACAACCCTGCCGTCAATTCACCGCTCGCGCTGACTCCGACAACGGCACCGAGTCACCACGTCACTATTCACTCGCCGGCGAAAAAACCAACTGTACAACCAAGCCATTGCATGCACTCATGTTCCAGCCCTCTCTGCCTGACCGACATTAGTTCCATCTCTACATCTCCAGGAGGTAAGTTCTAAAGTCTTACCTCGTAAAAACCCAGCCGAGGACGTTTCAACTCCCTTCCTCCCTTACGCCTTCCTCTGCTCTGCTCACTCTGCGACGAACAAAGCAAATGGAAAACCAATCCAGTGCATGCACTCATTTTCCAGTTCTTCTCTCTGCCTGATCGACGTTAGTCCTATCTCAGCATCTCTAGGAGGTAATTTCTAAAACCCTACCTCGGCAAAATCTGCCCTTTCCTCTCATCAAGAACTTCAACCAATTTTTCCAGCCCACTCATAAATTACATTCGCTTGCTAGCCTTCAAATTAGGTTTCTCCAGATCTACTACAATCTTAGCATTCAGAATTTTTTTTGAGTTCGAGACTCCAAGGAAATACTTGCAACCTCCACAGGTGAGTTAGCATCCATCCTTTCTGAACTGATGCGGTTAGCCTATTCAATTTATGGACATGATTAATAGTTCTTTCTTGGATTTTAGCATAGCATTGATCCATAGTTTAGGACATATATGTCAAAATTATTTCGGTTGGTTCTGATTACATAGTGTGTCTTGCAGTCCAACTAAAATTTGTATGTTTGTATAATACATAGTAGAGTTGAGTGAAAAAATTCCAGTTAAAAATCAAAGAAGAAAACGTCAAAAGAAATCAAATATAGGTCCAATTGTAAAATACATCGAAGGATTGACACATTCATGTATTGGTTTGCTATTGTTTGTGTATATTCGGTTTTACATAATTAGTTGATTAGTTTTACACCTCTAACATTTGTTGATATAGTTGCTAATATTTCTACTAATCTAAATTATAGGTTTTTTTCCATGGGAGACTTCGTTACAAATCTGCACTATCAAGTTGCTGTAGCAATTTGGGACACTGTGGAAACTATAGATCTTATCCCTATGCAATTGGATGTTGGTAATCAGGTGAATAAGATAACATGTTTTTTATCTATCCTTATCTATCTTTTATCTCAAGAATGTGCATCTAATTTGGTCTTATTTTGAACTCCTTATGTTTTGGTTTGTATCAGGGCAAGTCATACATTTTCTCTGGCGTGGTCACAGAATTGAGGAGATCTTGGTGTGAGGCATCCAGCATATACTTGATTCACTTGACAATTGAAGATGACATCACCGATGTTGAGGTCGTATTTCCATCAGCTTACTTACGGAGAATCATGTCTGCTGTTGTTAGTCCTGATGAGATTGAAGATGTGGAGTACGTTACACTACTCAACATGATTGGTGAGACGCCATATAAGGTCTTGGTCACATTCGGACCTTGGAACGACGTGGAGAATCATCTTGATCTCTTCTTGGTTAAGTTGTTCCCGATTTTAGATAACTAAGTAGCATAGGGTATTATTAATATAAGCGGATTAATGTTAGTAATGGTCCACCTCTCTGTAATCTCTAATTATCTAACCGCGTAATGGATATGTGAACGCAAATATTTTTTGAAAGTTTATTATCCTTTTGAGGTGGTACTTCATGTAACCATAGTTTGATCATCATATAATTTTGCTCTTTGTTTACTGTCACCTTCCTTGCTATTTGTTAATTCCTTTTAAATTGTTGTACTCTAGACTTTAGAATTGGAACTCGCTGCCAATGCATCTAGGAAGCCACCCAAACAAAATAAAAAACCCCCACAGGCCCAATTTAGAAAGGTGACTTTGGAATGTCTCAGGCCGCCTGTGTGTAGTCATTTGCTATGGGTTTTGCCAAAACTCTGGGCCCCATTAATTCATGAGCCACATAGGAAATAAGCCCATTTTTCCATTTAACATTAATCATGTAAAATTTAGTCTTTTAAATATGTTAAAGTGTCATTGTATATATAATATTGGTAATAACAGAATTGTAAATTCTACAAATGTATTAATGTTTTCCTAAAATTGTCAGATCTCTTGAGTAATCTATGAGTACAAACTTTTCTTTTCATCAGTGGCCAGATACATAAGCTCAATGCTTAAAAACATATAGTCCATTGGATAAGTTGTATTTTTAAATCCATTAAAATATTTTACATATGGATATCATTAGTTTTTTTTACATGATGATAGGTAACATAGCTTTGAAAACGATAGTAAATAGATTTTGTTTAAAAGTAAAAGGCAATAATTGTGAAAGAATACAAAAGCGTATACCAAAATGTTATTGCTAGGGAATTTGTGGTCAAAAAAATAAATAGCCAAACATCACACCTAACAATTGTCCATCAAAAAAATAAACTGTAATCATAAGTAAAACCTGAATTGAAGTTCATATAAATCAATCAAATATTTCTGGGAATACTATGTTCACCATTGAAGTGCCTTCCTCTCTATTCTCATTGGCACTCAAAATCTTCAATCCTTGCCTTGTAGTAACTCTTGACAATGCAACATATAGCTGACCATGACTAAAAACTTGTCTTTGAAGACATAAACCAACATTGGCTAATGTTTGACCCTGACTTTTGTTAATAGTCATGGCAAAACAAAGAGCAACAGGGTATTGCCTTCTAATGAGGGTGAAATTAAGACTCTTGTAATGGGTTGATAATGTCAATCTGGGGAGGAAGACGCGATCACCGACATTGGTACCTGTCAAAATCTCCACCTTGATGAACCATTTACCCAAAGTCTTCACAACCATTCTAGTACCATTACAAAGGCCAACAGTTTGATCCATATTCCGTAATAGAATGACTGGACACCCAACTTTTAGTTCCAGCTGATGGTCTGGAAAGTTTTCAATCTTGAGGTTGTTCAAAAACTCGGTTGAATAATCAGCATCCACAACTCCCTCCTTCCCAGGGTCCATCTCAATAGAATCTGCGCTGAAATATGCCACTGCATCTCCTGGAAATTGACTTAGAATATACTCATTCACTGCAGAAACCATATCATGGTGTGGAGCCAAGATAGCTCGATTGACTAAATAATTATGATCTCCTGCATGACTACTAAGATCACTGTATATAGAGGCGACAATATCAATAATAGGATCACTCTGTCGAGGAATTACTAATTCCTGAGGTATGCGAATCAAAGACTCACCAAACACATCTGAATCT